TAGAGAGAACCCTAAAGACTCCACCAAAAAACCACTACAACTAATAAAAGAATTCAATAAAGTAGTAGGATACAAAATAAATATCCAGAAATCAGTTGCATTTCTATACATCAATAATGAACTATCCAAAAGGGAAACTCAGAAAACAATCCCATTTACAATTGCATGAAAAAAATACATTGAAATAAATTTAACCAGGAATGTAAAAAAACCTATACTCAGAAAATTACAAAACACTGAAGAAAGAAATTGAAGAAGGTATAAATAAGTGGAAGCATATACCATGTCCATGGATAGGAAGAATTAACATCATTAAAATTTCCATACTTCCCAAAGAAATCTATAGATTCAATGTAATTGCTATCAACATACCAATGGCTTCTTTAAAAAAAACTAGAATAAATATTCCAAAAATTTATATGGAATCACAAAGGACTCTGAATAGCCACAGCATCTTGAGAAAGAAGAACAAAATTGGAGGAATCATGCTACTTGATATCAAAATATACTGCAAGGCCATAATAATCAAAGCAGCATAAAAGCAGACATATAGATAAATGGAACAGAATAGAGAGCCCATGCCTTTATGGTCAATGAATATTTGTCAAAGGAGGCAAGAACATATGATGGGGTAAGTCTTATAATAAATGTTGTTGGGGAAATTAGAGAGATACATGAGAAAAAGAATAAAAAAGAAAAGAAACTGGACTGCCTTGCTACTTGCTACACCACACACAAGAATAAACTCAAAATGGATTAAAGATTTAAATGTTAGACTCAACACCATAAAATTCTTAGAAGAAAATACAGGCAGTAAAATCTCAGACATTTCTCATAGCAATATTTTGTATGTCATATCTCCTTGGGCAAGGAAAACAAAAGAAAAATAAACAAATGGGACTATATCAAACTCAAAAGTTTTTGCACAGCAAAGGAAACCATCACCAAAATGAAAAGACAATCCACTGAATGGGAGAACATATTTTCCAATGATATATATAATAATTTAATATTTAAATTTATAAGGAATTTATAAAACTCAACACCAAAAAAACAAACAATCCAATTAAAAAATGGACAAAGGACCTGAATACATACTTCTCAAAAGAGGACTTACAGACGGCCAACAGACATATAAAAAGATGGTCAATGTCACTAATCATCAGAGATATGCAAATTAAAACCACAAAGAGGTGTCATCTGATACCTGCCAGAATGACTATCATCAATAAATCAACAAACAAGTGTTGGTGAGGATATGGAGAAAAGAGAACCCTTGTGCACTGTTGATGAGAATGAATATTGGTGCAGACTGGAAAGCAGTATGGAGTTACCTCAAAAAATTAAAAATGGAATTGCCTTATACCCAGCAATTCTACTTCTTGGAATTTATTCAAAATAACTCAAAACACTAATTCAAAAGAATATATGCTGAGTTCATTGCTATGTTATTTACAATAGCCATAATTTGGAAGCAGCCCAAGTGCCTATCAGTAGATGAGTGGATTAAAAAAAATGGTACATTTACACAATGGGATATTACTCAACGAGAGAGAGAGAGAGAGAGAGAGAGAGAGAGAGAGAGAGAGAAGGAAATCTTACCTTTTGCGACAGCATGGATGGACCTGGAGAGCATTAGGCTAACTAAATAAACCAGTCAGAGAAAGACAAATACTAATGATTTCACTTAAAGTTGGAATCTAGTGAACAAAATAAACTACCAAACAATATAGAAACATTATGGTCATTACCAGAGGGAAATGGGGGTTGGGGAGGCAGGAGAGGGTAAAGGAGGGGATAAATGGTGATGAAAAGAAACATGACTTGGGTGGTGAACACAAAATACAATATACAGATGATGTATTATAGCAATGGTTCCCAAACCTATTTGGCCTACCGCCCCCTTTCCAGAAAAAATATTAGCGCCCCCTGGAAATTAATTTTTTTAAAATTTTAATAGCAATTAAACAGAAAGATATATGTATTAATGTTTCTACCTTTTTCGTAAAATATAGTAAAGAAAGGTGTAAATTAGAAACATTGAAGTTTGAAATTATGAAACTATTTATTGAACTCAGAATAGAAAGGTAATACAAAAAAAGTTAAAACAAATGCACCTGTGGCCATCACCGCCCCCCTGGATTGCTGCAGCGCCCACCAGGGGGCGGTAGCGCCCACTTTGGGAATCACTGCATAATAGAATTGTACACCTGAAATAATCTATCTACTTTTATTAACCAATGTCACCCCAATAAATTCAATTGAAAAACAACTCTGGAATCTAAAGAACAGAAAGGACATGGGAGTCTAAGTCTACAATAAAAAAAGTAATTCAGTCCCATGATTTGCTTAATCCCAGGATATGAACACAGGAGAGCACCTACAGAGTGAGAAATAGGCCATTTAAGGAAACAAACAAAAAAAAGTATGATGGGTAATTAAAACATTTTGAAAATACTACTGATGGATGCACAATATTATACATATAATCAATGCTGAATTATATACTTAAAATAGCTAAAATGGCATAGTCCATGTTATATATATTTTATCACAACAAAATAATTTTAAAGGAAGTATGGTATACAATATGACACAAAAATACCATATCTTTTTCCAAAAAAAAATTGTTGACAGTAGAAAGTAAATGTTCTCACCAAAACAAAAACACAAATAAATAAATCTTTAATAACAGCTTTATCAGCAGTATTAGTTTAACATCCAAAACAATTTCAACTAAGAGTTTTAGACCTAATCCACCAGTTTGGATGTAAAAAAACAGGAAAAGGTAAAGGAACAGGTAGAGGAACAATCAACAGTATTTTTCTTAAAAAAAACAACAACCCTCATATTCCAAATGTCATACCCAACTTCTTTTTGGCAAGACCTAGCAACCACTTAGCCACTCCAATGTAACTATAAGAATGGTTTTTCTCAATGGAAACACGATATAAATTTTGCAGAACTCAAGTTTCCACTCTGGCTGTGTATATCCATCACATGAAACCCTATTTGTCATCAAAGATCCATTTGCAGTGAAAATAGTAAAGGAAGAAGGGAAAAACAAACATGCAAAAATGCAAATTAGTAGTTAAAGAAAAACAGGGCTCAACTTTCTAAACATAATTTAAAATTTTCAAATACACCCAGGCTAAATGCTTATGCAGAGGTGAAGAATGTTAAAAGCACACTGTGACACATTTTTTAAAATGAATTAATTTTTTTTGAGAATGGTTAATGCTTGATACCTCCTTCATCAGACGGTCTTGTCACCTCACTGCTGCATGAAAAGCTAGGGTAAATCTCGGATATTTCTGACTTGTCATCTCCAAGAACTGTACCAAAAGTACTGCTCGAATGAGATCGAGACCGCTGTCTCCTATATTGACTTGCCTTTTCTATATTGGAGGGAAAATATTCATACTTGTGATTAAGTGAATTGAAAAACAAAAGAAACAAAAAATTACTTAAAAGTTTAACAAGAAGAAAAGCAATCTCTTATTCAATAATAATCCAAAAGCTCAGTATTACAGATTCTAATCACCTACTCCCAAACTTTAACATACATTATATCAACTATATTAATGACTTAATGACCATTTACACTAATTTTTAATCCAGATTTTAAAAGAGATATGAGAGATGGGAAATTGATAAGAACTAATAAAACATTAGTAACTTGATAAAATTCTATCAAACATAATAACTGATTACAAATAATTGTTTTTAAGTGTCACCAAACATAATATTTGTTGCCTTTTCTATACTTTTAGAAATTTAAATGCCTATTTGGATGCTTATATGGATCAAATTGACTATTAAAATTCCTATTTTGCCTTGAGCTTTCAATTTTATCAATGTCAGCAATTAAATCTAAAGTAAAAATCAGAGGGAAGGGCAAGACCTAAGTGATATGATGTCTATTTTTATTGTTTAAAATAATTGCATAACTGTCAAAGCTTTGGTTTGCTAAAAACAGTCTAAAAGTCCAAAATATCAAACAATGCTATCACTATATTCAAATATCCAAACCATTTGGGTTTTTGTTTTTAATTATAAATATGCAGTCTAAGTTACAAGTCAAATAAACTTCCTATGGAAACTATAAACTTTACATTATATAAAAACTCAGAAGTAAAATTTAGGGATCATGAAGGTTTATTTTAAGACATTTATGATGCTATATAGGTAACCTCCCCACTGTTTTATATAACTAGAGGCTCATTGCATGAAATTTGTGCAAGAGGCTTGGCCCTTGCAGCCTCGGCTTTGTCCAGAAGGTCGTCTGGAAGGACATCCAGAAGGTTGTTCGGCTGCCTGGTCTAATTAGCATATTAGGTATATATATTCTTTAAATCTACCTTTAAAAGATTGTGTTTTTCATGAAACAGATCTCCTTTACGTTTTGGCAGTTAAGTGCAATCCAAATAAATGCATTTGAAAGCCCATAAAACCTATAAAATAATATTTATTAATCAAAAGCAGATATAAGTTTTAGATGCCTTTTTTTCCATTTTTTGGTTAATCCTCATCCAAGGATATTTTTCCATTGATTTTTAGGGAGAATAGGAGAGGGAAAGACAGAGAGAAACATCGATGTGAGAGGAACACATCAACTGGTTGCCTCCTGTACAAGCCCCAACCAGGGCCCCAGGCTGGGGTGGAGCCTGCAACCAGGTACATGCCCTTGACCAGAATTGAACCCCGCGACCCTTTGGTCTGCAGGCAGACACTCTATCCACTGAGCCAAACTGGCTAGGGCTCTAGATGCCTTTTTAAATGAATCTAGAACAAACTAATTTGGATATATTAAAATGCCCTTTTCAAGTTCTGTTTTCATAAATGATTAGTGGAATTTTAAAGCAGCCTAGCACTTTTTTAGTGTTTTGAATCCTCAACTTTAAAATGCACATTACACAATGAACTTCTACAGTTCCGAGTAGCTCCACTTTCAGGACAAAACCATGTAAACGGGGAGGAACTCAAAATGCAAGCAGTACCAGAGAGCATGTGTAGACTTCTAGACTGAATATTGTCTTCCAGGGGGTCAATGTCGAAGATGGAGCCAGGATCTGTGCGCCAAACTTTGAGGTCTTTTACCAAAAGGAAAAAATCAACAAATCAAGAATGAATTAAAAAAGTCAGCACCAAAGAGAGTCGAGAGAAAATCATGAAAGGGACCTATGTAAAGAGAGAACATGTAATAAGCAAACACACTGCAATGCAGACGTCAAAGGAGAACAAAGAAAATTTCCATTCAGCAGGATTTGTTAAGAAAACTTCAGGATGAAATGTAAGCTGCACTGTTTGTCTTCATTGCCTTCCCCCAGCACACATGCACACCAGACAACTCTGTGCGTCTCCCCACATCCCTGAGCTCCGATCGCTCATGCTTTCCACACACTGAAACAGGTACAATGTTGAATGAAAACTCATGATTAAAGACATATGATGACTAATTCTTTATGTGACCGAGAGGTTTTTGTCTGAGAAAACAAAACCAAAAATTCTCTCCCTCTAACAGAAATAAATGTTCAAGTGGTAGCCCAGTCTTCATTGTGAGCCAAAGAGCACAAGGTAACCCACATAAGATACATTTATTTGAAAAGTAGCAAGGCACCAAGCAAGGATGGAGGGATGGGAAGGTGAACAAGGAAGAGCTGTCTGCTCAGAGCTGTCTGCTCTCAGTGGACCACAGATTAGTTCAGCGCTATGGTCAGTCAATTTATTCTCTTATTTTAGTTGGGGGCAAAAAATCTAAATCAATAACTTTCATGTTTTTAGTCTCTCTACCTAATGGCTATTAAGACCTAAAATAATCTGTACAGTGCTGTACCAACAACAGGAAAATAAAAACCTAGCTAAAGATGTGTGGCAGAAATGGAGCTTTAGTAAAAACAATTAATTAGTAACCTGGAATTGGAGATCTGTTTGTCTGTCTTTAATATTATATAGTGCTTACCAGGCACTCTTCTCAGTTATAACATAACTCATTTAAGCTTCACAACATCGTAAAGTAGTTATTATTACTATTCCCATTTTATAGATGAAGAAATTGAGGCAAAGAGATTGAGTTAGCTTAGCCAAGGTTATGAAACTAATAAGTAGCAAAGCCTCCAAAAATTGGCTTAGTCTGAATTACTCAGAAAACCTCTAAACCTGTATTTCTATGCCTGGTTCAGAAAGTTTAATGTTTTTTGAATGCAATATATTTTGTGGTTTCATAGGCAAGTCCACAATGGAAAACAGTTTCCCCCAATTAGAAAAAAAAATAAACTGACCTCTGGATTGCCCAGAAAGGTAATAATTTAGAGTTGAATATCTTATATTTTTAAACATTAATAATTTCTATCTCAAAGGTAATGAGTACTGAATTCTGAGAGCTCGAAGTCTAAACAATCTCATGTTTAACAAGAATCTCACATTCATTCTTGGCCCCTGATCTGGGGTGGGCGCCTGGTGTCAGCTGTGCAGATGTCACCTTCCTGGGAATCAGACACTCTGATCTTAGGAGATGTCGATACAAAGCAAGAAAACTCTCTAACCCTGTGATACTTTTGATGAAAACCTCACTATTTATCCAATTGAATGTGATCACTTTAAGCAACCAACTCGGGAAGATCAGCAAAGCTATCAACTCCCTGCAAATATGCTTGGGATCCCTCTTTGGAAAACACTTTAGAGTCACTTAACCATCCAAGTAACTTGCTGCCCGACTTCAGTGCTGGCGTTTTACACCACGACATGAGCCTGTCAAATACACAGTTTCCTTGCCCATCTCATCTCTAAATGGCCTCTCAGTAGTTCCACAAAAAGCTTTACATTTGAAGATGATGCAACCTAACACTGAGGTAGCTGAGAGGCATTGTTACACGGTTACAAAAAAAATATTATTTGAGCAATGTAATTGGACTAGCTATAAAAATTCAGAGGCTAACTGCTCAGAAGAAGACAATAGTCATTTGGAAGTATGGGTCGTTGATATGTACTGAAAATTTAATAATTTTCCTGCCTACTGCTGTCTTAGACTTCATAGGATCCTTTCTGTCTCAGCCCCTTTCAAACACTATGTCCCTAAGACTTCCCCCGACTGACTGGGAGGAACAGCAGGAAAAGAAGGTTCTCTCCTCTCTGATGTATGGGACTTCCAGACAGCTCTCGATCATGCCAGTTCAGAGACAATATTAAAAAAAATATCAGCTATCCATACAATGGATCAGAGTCTCTCTGGGATTTCCATTTGTGCTAGACAATAACTGCAGTACAATATATTGATCAAATACATAAGGTAAAGTAAAACCAAAGTAATTGTTCAAACCGTGTTATCACCCATGTTCGATATTGGGCTGCTTCTTTGCTTAACAAGTAGAAACATTCTTAAGACCAGAAAGTTATTAAAGACAGAGTGTCCAATTACAGAAAGGATTGAAACGATGCCTGGCGAATGCCATGAATCCCATTCAATGTGGTGCATCAGTAACACTTTGGTCCATTTTCAATTGGGCACCACAACAAACATGGGAGGAGCTGTCCAATGAACAAGGAGGCCACTTCTAAAGCTTGGGCAAGCATGATCTTTGTGACCTGCTGAGAAGGAGCGTCAGCTTACCAACAATGATGCCAGGTCTCCTGTCCATCTCCACGATGTGAGGGTGGACACCTTTGTAAGCGGCATCGCTGACCACCTGGGTGTTCTTCCTCACGCGCTCTGTCACAGGGTCATCCACGACAGGGGTAAAGCCCCTCCCCTTTGTCTTTTCAAAATCTTCATGATATTTGACCTGAAAAAAAGGTAAAATAATATTAACTCCAACTGGAATTTCCTATTATTCCATAGCTCACACATTTTTGACATCACGGCAGCTGTCACTGCACCAGCTACATCTGGCTTATTTTCTGCATATATGCACGCTTTTTCATTCCAAATAGAAGGTCTGAAACTTCAGCTTCCTAAGCATCAGAAATCAAGTGCTGATATATTCACAGTTTGGCATCATTACGGTTAGCAGTTCTTTTAAATTATGTATAAACCTGTATATCAGTAAGAATTTTTAAAAGATAGAAATGTTTTTTTAATCCTGGTTCCTCTCTAAAATATACTTATTTAGGTACAAATTCATTTCCTATTCCTTAACCTTTAATATGCAACAAAATGATAAGCTAATTCCACACTTATTCAACAAAACAGTATTAAAATTAGATTAAGAGAATTACAAATAATCTTAATTATTTGTAATTAATTTTGTAATTATATACAAAAATGTATATATACTTCAAAATATACACTTTTCAGGTTCTGAAACTGGATTAGGGTGATGGTTGTTCAACTCTGTAAATTATACAAACCATTCAATTGTACACTTTAAGTGGGTACACGTTATGGCATATAAATCATATCTTATGAAACTGTTTTTAAATACACACATATTTTTAATTTTCTTTGCAACATGCCAACACCAAACTCTGCCTTAAAATTAATTAGAAATAAGTCCAGCCAAATGTCTTTCATAAAATGCATTTATAATAGTCATGTTAGAAATAAAAACACACCCAAAAGCATAGAGAAAAATCTTTTTATTAGAGAACATTTCCATTACATTGCAGTGCGATTAAAAAGTCTCCCCAAAAGCACGGGCCCATCCGCATTTCCATGCTTTGTTAGTTATCCAGGTTATTGGTGAACTAACGCCGTCAGCACACTGGCTGGTGCCACTCCTTAGTGTGTTTTAGTTGTGAGAAGAAGGACCTGGTTGTACCCTACCATTGAAATATGATTTTGCGCTTCTTTGACATGTCTCAGACCAGGTGTATCTAAAATAAGACTTGGTCTACCTTTCATCTGTTTATGGTCCTGGGTATATTTTACCTGCAAAGTAAATAGCAGAACAGACTTGATAAGACAATTACAATCTTTAAAAATTACATAACTTTTTCAAGTTTTCCAAGTGAGTGAAATATATACAACACATTCTACATTATTCTCCCAGGTAACTTGTTCAGTGAATTAATTTCATTCTAGAATAACAATCTAAAATTTTATAAATGTAAATTTATACAGTGGCAGCTTTTGGAAGTCATCTGAAATAACATATGTACTTACTGCATATATCCCAAATGTTTCTTGAAAATATATTTTGTTTTCACAAGAAAAAAAAACCAGGACTGCACATAAATAATAAATGATACACCCTTTGTGATAGTCCAAAAGGAATAAAACCACTTGCCGAACTAATATTTTCTTGATTCTTCTTTACTCTTTCCATCTCAGGAGTTACACTTAAAGGCGTAGCTCTTCCCAGCTGACCTTTATAATAAACCTACCATTTCAGAGAACAAAAAAAATAGTGTAATGTGAATCAATTCAACTAAATAAGAGTCTCATAGTATTTATTTTAAAGAACTAGTCAAAAAAAGAAAACTATGAAAAAAGAGGTTGCTATCTGATGTCTAGTCATATTTTAAATGCTTGCACCTTAAATCAATTTATTTTAATTCATTCCATAGCACTGAATCACTGTGAATGTACTCAAATATATGGGCATACCATCAGTAACACTGTAATATGCATTCCATCACAAAGGAATGTGATAAGAAATGTCTTCATGGATATTATTTAAAGGTACTCCTGCCCATATAGAATGGTACCAATGTGGTTTCTTAGTAATTAATTGTGGCAGATCTTTTGAAAGGTTATCTTTAAATAGGTGACATGATCTTGCATAAAAAGGCCAGTGTGCTTCCCACTACTCTCTTCCTCCTCTTCAATAACCATGTCCCTTTTTGAGAGTAATAGAGTCAGTCACATCCAGTGCGACTCTAAATATATCAGGAAAAGATGAGCATCTACTTCTCCAAAATATAGTTGTCAGGAAAAGTGCCAAACAGTAAGATGCCTTTGCTTTATAATCTGGTCCAATAACTTGAAAGGTGTAAAGAATATAAGGTTTCTTTGAACCTAATAGATTTCCAAATTTCCTCCTCCACAGAACTCCATCTATATGTTAATGACTTCAAAGAAGAATTCTCTCAGTGAACTGCGTCCATGGATTACATAAACAGCAAGGAGCTGGAGCAGGCTGGGAGTTAGTGTCTTAGTAAAAACTGGCAGCCCCTACAAGGACCCTTAAATGGGCCTGCCTCGGGTGACCTATTTAGCAAACACACTTTATAATTTCTCCCCAGACAGCGTCCAAAAATAAAGTAATAATAGCTGGGAGTGGGCTGAACAGGCTAGAGAGAACATGTGCAGGAAGGAAAGGGAGTGGGGAAGCTGATGGGTAGGGCCATGATGCCCGAAGCTGCTGCCAAGTCCCTTTGAGGAACCACAGCAAGCACAGCAGGAAGACTAGATAAGAGGGATACACAATAACCTGCAGACAAAAGTCATACCGCAAGCCCCTGGGAACTCTGGAAGGGAGAATGCCTGGCTGTGCCCACAAGACCTAAGACCCTGAAACCTTTCCAAACCCAATGTCAACTCCAGGTCACGAACACTTGTAAACATCATCCCTTCACTGACACGCTGACAATACGTTGGGTATTATAAGAAAGAAGTTGCTAGGATCACACATTGCTGATATTCCTCTGGTTTTCTTTAACTCTCTTCAGCTCTGGTGGATCAGAAATTGCAGTTGCCTGTTTAATCTCTCCTTTGTATTTTACCTGTGGAGGATAAAGAAGAATGTTAATAGGTAGAATGATGGTTTCCACCCAAACACCACAGAGGATGGAGCCTCAAATTAGCCCTGTCTTTCCACACACCTTTTGCACCGTAGGTATGTTGACATCTACCACTGGATTCTGATTCATCTGACTTAGCAAGCACAAGTGTTGGCTATGCTTTTTAAAAATGAACTTCTAATAAATATTTTGCTGTTCAATATCCAAACTTAACTGCCAAAATTCCAGGACTAAAAGTATTGGACATAGAAGGGGAATCATCAGAATGAAGTCATTACCTAAGAACTATAGTAAGGTTACATGGCAGCCTGGGAAGACCAGGACTCTCTTTCTGACCCAGGGCTTCAATCTTCAAAAATCAAAAACCAAAGAGGAGGGAATGGGGACCAGTGAAAAGGCAAAGGGGATTAAGAAGTACAAACTGTCAGTTATAAAAATAGTCATGGCACAGGGAACATAATCAATAATATTGTAGTAACTATGTATGGTGACAGATGGGTACTAGACTCCACCAAACCTCCCTGGCCCCTGACTAGTCCTTCAACTCCCCATTCCCCTCTCTCTGCACGCAGGGTAGCCTCCTGTGGCGGGGCCAGACGGTGAGTGCTGAATCAAGCCCAGATCCCTGGTTCCTTTATCCCCTTCTCCTGTCTTTAGGGTGGGACGCTGCCGTAAACCCTAACATTCATACCAGTTCCCCTCTAACTGGGGAAGGAACCTTGAGAGGGCCCGAGTTCATCCACTTGATTGGTTAACTGAAGCCTCCTTCATTTTAGTAAAATCTGATCTCCTTGGAGACACTTCAGTGAGTTGTTTGGGATTTTTTTAATGGTGGAAAGAAAGGCATCTGCGGGCGCTGATGCACTCCCTTGCCACTCTCCGGCTGCTGGCATGCACTGGACTTCCCATCAGTTCGGGGCAGGGCTGACGTCTGGGCCACAGCTAGTCCAACCTTATCCCTAAAGATCCAGTTAAGCTTCTGTCTGAAGTTCCACTTTCACCCGCTGCCCTGAGTGGCGGTGAACACCCCCAGCAGCCTGATACCGAGGGCCAGGAGCAGCCCAAGGAGGCAAACAGGTTCAGAGCACGTTTCCATTTACAGGAAACAGAACACAGGCCTCTGAGTATCCACGGAGCAACGTGCAGATTGCGTGATGGGCAGAGTGCCTCTCCTCCCAGGACAGTGTCTCTGGCAAACACTGGGGACCACTGTCAACAATGCTGCTGAACACACCCGAGAACACAGTCAGACTCTGTTCATAACCAGCACATGTGTAAAGTGAATGACCTTGAGAGGCCATGTTTACTCCAAACCTGAGCTTAATGGGAGCATCACCTCACAGCCTTAGATTTATCCATTTTTGTATACATATATATTTCTTCCTTTTTAATATAATGTCAATGCCTCGTCTGAATATCATCGGTCAAGAGTGGGGGAGAGAACCAACCTCTTCATAGGAACAGGGCTGGGCAGGGAATGTTAGTTTCGGCTGCTTGCTTTCCTCATTCAGACTATCCCTATCAAAGCTCAGCTGGTTATCTGAAGCCAAACTACAGTAACTAGGATCATGTGGTCCTTCTGGAGGCCACCTTCACCCGCCCTAGGCCACTGAGACTCTTTACATAGGCCACAGCGATTAGTTACCCCACTCACGGGCAGGGGGAGCATGAAAATCACAGATAACCAAGGCATTTTTCCTCCAAGGGGTCAGTTTGGAAGGAAGGAAGGAAGGAAGGAAGGAAGGAAGGAAGGAAGGAAGGAAGGAAGGAAAGAAGGGAGGGAGGGGAGGGAAGGAGGGAGGGAGGGAGGGAGGGGGGAGAGAGAGAGAGACAGAGAGAGAGAGAGAGAGAGAGAGAGAGAGAGAGAGAGAGAGAGAAAACAAATTTATTCAGAATAAAAAAAAAATCCTGCATGTGAGCCAGGCTACGGGGTTGCCTCTGCATTTGTTCAGACAGAACAGCGACATGAAGGCCGGCAGACTGTCCTTGGGATGGAGGAGAGCCCCGGTCACCTGTTGGTACAGACCAAGGGGCAGAGATGCAGAACACTGCACTCTTTCCACTGCCGCGGCTCCCTCCTGTGCACCCACAGAAGCTCCAAAGAGAGAGTCCACCCAGCCCAGCCCGTACACAAAACATCTCCTCCTCAACTGCAGCCAGGCTCTTTGAAGGCCAACTTGGGTAAGAACCACAGACTTCCCTTTCCAAACACAATTATTGCCTGCCTACTGGTACAGTTACTGTTTTAGCTCACTTTTTCTTTCAGAAAAACCAGAGAAGGCAGTATAATCTTGTGCACCTGAACCAGCCTGCAGCCAGCCAGAGCCTCCTGGGCAGGGCCCCTCAGGGATGCACAGCGATGCATCGATGTTGTCACCTGGAATTTGGAAATGCAACAAGCCCCTCCCCACCTGCCACACAACTGCCCGTCAGCCCTCACCCTCCCACAGGGCTAGCCCAAGTCCAGCTCTGCACACACTGGCAAGGGGTGACAACCTGTCTCTGCGGGCTTCCTTCTTCATCCAGGGCTGAGACCTGCCGCCTCTCCGGGCTAAGGTCTCTTACGCTAACACCAGAGCCAACATCCCCTCCTTCACTAAGCATCACCTCAGGGCACAGTCTCAAGCCCCCTTCCTTGGGGGCTTCGGAAACATGCATCTCCCTGACCTAAGCAGCTAGTGAGGTCTGTCTGACTTGAAAAGGGGAAAATGGAAATGATGGTGGGGAATGAGGAATGAATCTCAGAACCAACTTCTCAGCCCTCCACAACACTGTGCTTCTGTGAGGGGAAAGTGATCCGAAGATGTAGGAAAATGCGAGTGGAGGGGCCAAAAAAGGTAAAAGCGGGGGAAAAAACGAGTAGCTATACCACTTTCTCTGCAAGTCACCTATGCTTCTCTCTCGCTTCTCCCTGCCTGGCTGCTTTGCCAAGTTCTCCGGTACAGACAGGGCCTGCTCTCGCTGGGGGAGCTGCTGTGCTGGGAGTCTGGGGAGTCCTGCTCATTGTGGTATTCAGGAGCAGGCATGAGGGTGGCCTTGGCAGGGGAGGGTGCCCAGGATCTCAGGCCTGCTCCTTGGAAGGCTGGCCGAGCCCTTCCTCCTCGTCTCCAGCGGCCACACGTGGCAGCGGTGGTAGAAGTCCAGGGCTCCATCCAGAGCATCGGCCATGAGTGTTCAGCTCTTTGAGGTCATCACTGTGGGGGCCCCTGTTGCACACACACACACACACCTCGATGCCCAAGTCACCCACGAAGTGGCGATGTCTGCCAGGCGTCTTGTCCTTGCTGTTGGGAAGGGGGCCGTCCTGCTCGCAGGTATCATCTTTCAGCAGCTCCTCCTTACATTGGGAATCCATGTCCAGCAAGGCCCCAGGGGCCAGTTCCCGGGGCAGAGACAGAGCCACTGGGCTCCGTTCCAGGGGCTTTGGTGGCTGTGGGTTGGCTGGCGTGTCTGTGTTGGAGGGCTCAGGGTCAGTGATGATGCTGGGGGGTCACGTGCTGCTTCTGCTGGGCCCAGACAAAGGGCTGCTCTGTGTCCCCTGGGGGCCCCTGGTGGGATTGGCGCCTGGGGACTGCTGCCCACAGAGCCACACTGTACGGGCAGCTGCTGCTGCTGGAGCTGGAAGGCATGAAACAAAATGGCAGCGCTAACTGTGGGCTTCTTGGTAGGCGATCAGGTTGACTTCATGTTCCCACTGTTGGGCCAGCAGGCGGTGCTTGGGTGCTTGGCCGGCAGTGGTGGCCAGCACAGCAGCAGCTCAGGATGGTGATGATGGTCCACACCAGCCAGAACACAACATCACAGTTCGTAGTAGTAGGTGCAGCGCTGAGACTGTCCCCGGCAGTGTCCTCTCTCACAGGCGTAGCTTTGATTGTTGGTCCCCACACAGGTCTCATCCTGTGGGGGTTCAGCCCTGGCTGACAGGGGCCTGGGCAGCACCCGGAGGAGCTCCATGCTTCCCTTCTTCTCTCCATCCCACCTCCTCCCCTTCTCTAACACCACCTCTTCCTCCCTCTCTCCTCCTCGTTCCTTTTATTATTTTTATTATTCTGAAATATCTGTGAGTTTGAAGCCAAGATGGTTTTGTTTTCTTACAGCTGATGGCTAGCATAATACTGAGCATGTATCAGGGGCTTACTAAGTATCTATTGGATAAATGAATAAATTAGGATAAAGAAATGGGAAGCTAAAGATCTCTCATTCCCGCCATCCTCCAAGGCGCTTATAAGAACAAAGCAATGTTCACCCTGATTTTGTCCTCCACCTGGGAGAACTCACTGAAATTGTAAAGTCTTTTAAAATTATCTATTTGGAAGAAGAAGGCTATTGTTTATATTGGTAAAAGTTCCATTAAGAGGGTCAAGAAACAGGAAAAATAACTATTGAGGGTAGCACCTTTGAAAGGATTTCTAAATCCCAGGAAGCCTGGTTTAAAATCTCAGCCCTGCCCTTATAAATTGTGGGTCCTGGCATGTTCTCTGACCTCCCAGACTCAATTTCCCACTGCTGCAAAGCAGAGAAATAAACTGTTTCACTTCATGGGGTCACATAAGGCCTGTAGCACAGGGTCCATATTAGAGGTACCTCCTAAGTGTTCATTATCATTGCTTTATTAGCAATAGATTACTGACTGGTCAAATAATTTTTCCACTTTATTTATAAGGTTTCCTGCCATGACAGTATGTCTTAGGACCCCAGGTCTTCTTTTGACCTACTCCAGTCGATCATTTTTCTCTCCATTGACAGCAGACCCCCAACTCCCCAGGTCCTTGCCTGGATGTAGTTTTAGAGATCTACCAACTGAATCACGAGGTCCATGCGGACAGGAACTGGGTCTCATCCATCTCTACGTACCAGTGGCCAGGATAATGTCTGGCACATTGGTGTGCTTACTGAAGATTTTTTAAATAAACAGAAATGTCTAAATTATAGTAAAACAACCCCGAATTTCCTACACGCCCGTGGGAGGGCCCCAGTTCATGCCCTCCCATGTGTGCCTGTGAAAAGGACCATCACAATGCAGAGGGTTCAAAGGTTTTCAGATAGTGCTATGATGAATAAGAATGTGTAATGTGTGATACAATAAGAGAAAACAGAGACAACTTGCCGTACTCAGCTGCTCCTGGTTCCTCCTCACTCTCTCTATCTCTGGCGTCATGCTGACTGGGGTTGCCCTGTAGCTCTGCTCTTTGTACTGGAGCTGGGAACACAGGGCAAGACAGCATGAGGTTGCAGGAAGGAAACGGCTGCCCCTCCACTGGCAGGATCAGAGGAGATAAGCATGCTGCAGAGCATTCATTAGTTAGACTAGGGGTCCTCAAACTACGGCCCGCGGGCCACATGCAAATACAAATATTATATTTGTTCCCATTTTGTTTTTTTACTTCAAAATAAGATATGTGCAGTGTGCATAGGAATTTGTTCATAGTTTTTTTTTAAACTATAGTCCGGCCCTCCAACGGTCTGAGGGACAGTGAACTGGCCCCCTGTTTAAAAAGTTTGAGGACCCTTGAGTTAGACTCTTCATCGGGATCCTAAGTGAAATATGCATTGCTGAGAGGCTTCATCATATTGATCCCAGACTACGCTTTTTCTTGTCCAAATATTTCAAATCCCACCTTTGGTTGTTACTCTTCCAATTGCATCATGTATTTGACCTTATCAGTGATAGCAAATGATTCCTTCTGTGAATTTATTTCTTCATAGCAGTAAAGCAACACTGATCAAGTTACCATTTTATATTTCAAAAGAAAGGGGGATTATATCAGCTCTATGCTTGTACCTTAGGGGTGAACGGTCACGATATAAAGAAACCAGGAACCTCACAGTTTTCTTCTCTGAAAACATCCAACCTTGGAAGGCTTGCCCTCTGGAAGAGCAGTAGGAACGTTTTCCTGGCCTGCAGCACAGAGGTGCCTTTGCTTAGCCGGGGCATAGACCCATCAGTTGCGGTCAGCTTCCCCAGCAATTCCACACACCCCAGAAAATAAATGAGCATCCAACACCGAGGGGAAAAATGGTATGTCCATCAACTGAATTTTTGACAGGCAAAAGTAAAACTCACAGTTAAAATCCTATAAGGAACTCCGCAAGGACAGTGGTAGCGATTTTTTAGAGTTTAAATTTAGCATAAGGGATTTTTTTCCTAAGAAATTACCAGGCCTACAGGGCCTGCAGATAAAATGGACTTGAGTTTCCACCCTCAGCAGTGAATGTGCAAGTGAAGAGACATTTGATAAGTTTGGAAAATAAGTGACAAAGGGACAGGCCCTTCTACAATATGTGACCTTCTCTGTGCCACGGCGTGCACGTTGAGAGGTTAGGCAGACTCGGTGTCTGGGATAACTGTGTGAGTCAAAGTGAGGCAAGGCCCAGTGTAATCTCTATGGGCGGCAAGATACACGGAGATTGCTCTGGGTAGAGCTCAGAGGGGGAAATCTATAGAACAGCATTACTGATGTGGAGAGACTAGTGAAGCTGATTTCTGGTGGATGTAGGTTTGGGGACATACGAGTGATGTGGAGATTGTTCATATTTTGCGTTCATCCATTTGCAAACATGCCAAGTGCTTTACAGGCAATATCTCACTTAATACTTTAGTCCCTGTGTTATAGATGAGGAAACGGAGGCTTGGAGACCCGGGTGGCTTATGAAGGTTATAGAACAAGTAAGGCCTGGAGATGGGATTGAACCAACAGTCCAGGGTCCACATTCGTCCCCGCTATTCCAGTGTTACCTAAATTTCCACCATTTGCACACCACTTACCTATGTGTCATGCCAGATGCCATCTGTGCTGTGATTTATATTTTTTTTCAGTTATCTTACTAGCTATTCTTTTCAAATAAAGTTATTTTTAAGGGAGTGTTATGTTTCTATGATGAGCACATTAAGATTACTTAATCACTAAGTCAAGGCCTAATAATCAGCAAGCCACTTAACTCTATCTATGTGTGAACCACATTTAAGGGACACTGTGGGTCTTCCAACTGCCCCCACTAAAGACCCCACCGTCATCTTGTGCCACACTTCACCCCAAGTACCCATCATGCTAAGCCTCCTCCAGCTTGAACAAGCCTTGGATTCTGAACAGAATCAGTTTGCTCTGCCAGCAAGGCCGTTCCCCAGCAAACCCACCCCAAACCTTGATTAATTCTTCCAGCTCTAACTCAAATGTCACTTTTTCTCCAAGAGTTTTACTCTCTCTCACTAACACAGCCTTCCCTCTCTGCATTTCCCTACATCATTTTGCAAGAGGAATTATTACTTATTATTAAATGAGATATTGCATGTAAAGTATGAAAAAGCAGAGTAAACACCCAATAAATATTGGTTATTGTTATAACACTTAGTGCATCATCATTACTTTTTTATGCCTGTTTCTCCTAGAGACCTTGAGAATATTCACAGCCTTAACTTTAGGGTGTGCTTTACTCATCTTTGAATTCCCCCCAAAATAAAAATATAGTAGGAATTCAATGTCATGTTGGTGTTTTGTAAATAGGCAAATGCACATGAAGCATGGGCTAGGTGTCATGGAGGCCATGAAGGTGTGTGAGACCCTATCCCCGCCTTTCAAGAACTGGCTCTCCTGAATGGTATTCACCATAAAGGGCCTCCACCTTTGTAAGTGTCATGTATGGTGCTAGCCAGTAAAACAACAAACAATACTTAGGGAAATGTGATCCCACATTGCTGATGTTCTTCTGGTTTTCTTTAACTCTCTTTAGCTCTGAAGGATCAGAAATGGCTGTTGCATGCTTTATCCCTTCTTTGTATTTCACCTGCATAATTTATTTTTAAAAATGTGAGTGTTATTCAACACAATGCTTTAAAAAAGTTTAAAATTCTTCATTTGTAACTATTGCATAATTGAAATTTTCTAATTCCAACATTAATTCTCCTTCAATGGGAATACAAATTTTTATTTTATCTGATACTTTCAGGATTCCTTTATATACAGTACAAATAAGTCCATATCTATTCACCTATCCATCATTGTAGGAGTTTTTTAACTAAAGCAAGAAAATATTGTTTATGATAATAAGTTTTGTCATTAGGCAGATATACAAAAAACCTTGGAAAATACTTGAATATAATAATTTATTATTGTCTATACAAAATGCAGTTTCTATTTATTACTATGTTAAATTTACCACATATTTAAAGGCAAATGTCAAATTAAGTTAGCTACTAAATCTTGGGAACACTGCTTAGTTGACTGAGAGCATTCAAATAATCCAGAATAAGGAAAAAACAAATGTGGCCATGATAAAAGAAGAGAAAGGGGAAGGTGGAGGTACTTGTTCTAAAAACAGAGGCCACTGTTTCCTGATCACTATAGAAAAATCAGTAACAGAAAGTCAGCAACTGTCTTCTACCTTCACAATCATGTCATGGAAAGCCAGCCTATATCCTGGCATACAATTCACTGAAAAGCTCCTCTTTCAAATCTATTTAGAGGAACATCAACCCAACAAATGGTAATACCAGAACACATTTATGCACGGGACAAGAAACAGCTCTTTAACTTATAAATGCCATCATATCAGGTGTTATTTTAATGTCTAAAATTCATGGAAGATTAGATTCAAAAAAAGGACACAACTATATATTTAGATGTGAAAACATAGGCTAAAGAGGCACACACTGAAACTTAGCAAAGACTTAAAAAAACACATTTTAGAAATCACTTGGTAGCATTTAAGGTGTTTAAAGCTAAAATCCATGCGGGGAGTCAAAAAAAGTGGTACCTAAATACCTCAGATATCATCTATTGCAGGGTCTATGGATTTAATGTGAGTAATAATGCCAATATTAGTCTGGATCCAAAAGAGTTAAATTGAGAGTATGCCGAAACAGGCTACCACTAAATAAGATTCAGAAATGGTTCTTAGAGAAAGCTAATAGCTAAAAGGCTTGTACTCTGGAGGTGGAAAATGTCGAGATCTTTAAATGTTAGAGAATCATATCTTGGTTTGACAGATCTAGCTAATCTTGAAAGGGCAACTTTCCATTTGAATACTAAGCAGGAGTTTACGGCCCAACCTCGCAGAGATGCAGAACTATGCATTTATTGTGCTGGCAGAGGCAGTGGGACGCTGGGAGAACAAATGATATACTGTACTACTTGGTGTGATTTTCCTCGGGTGAGAAGTTAAACATGATTAAAGATGAACATTTTTGTTTTCCATGGGACTCTAATCAAAATGGCACAGTCATTTCACTGTAGGCAATAGAACTGCATGCTACAGAACATTTATAACATTATATTCCAGTACACTGATGTGTACATTTCAAATATTATCATTTGGAAGTGAAGGAAACAAACATTTTACACTTTTCTGCCAAACTAATTTCCTACCAGACCTGAGTGTTGCCTGACACAGGCTCTCTCCATGTGGAGCACAGCACAAGTATATACCCTCAGCATTAGGCCCTTCTCCTTGTACTTTCTGCAGGAGATACCTTCATTCATGCTACAGAGATTTTATTACACCAGCATTCTGTAGATTTCTTATAAATTCATTTTGAAGTACGTTTTACTACAGCATTAGTTGCCTTTCCTGCTCCTTCTCCCCAAATGCCAGCACACACTCATATTCTAAAATGAATGCCATGTAACTATTGGAGTTCCTGACACATGAATAGAATCAAGGAATTTTCACTTGGATTACTTAAAGAAAGACTTGGCCTCCAAGGGCGAAGGTAAAGAGAAGGCCAAAATGGGGATTCAAGAAAAGAACCCTTTAGACTTCCTCGTCAACAAACTAAACATACATGGAAGGATGCCCATTGATGTACGGATAGCAATTATCCATTGTCAATGTCAAGCAATTTTGTTATTATACCCATAACATTAAGCACCTCCCCAACCATCCCGTCTAGCTCAAAAGGAAATGGAAGGGAAGTTAATTTACAAATGATAGTTAAAGTGTACGTTTTCCTTTGCTAGGAGCTGGGAGAGGTAGAGGCCAATGGGGCCTTTGAAACCTTCTCTTCAGACACCAAATAAATGTTCTAAGGCCTTTAATCATTCTCCAGGGCAAAATTCCTTCCTTCCAAGTTGCAGAGAGGTACTGAAATGTATCCTTTCTCTAAAAAATTTAATACAGTGAAAATTCTGTTTAAAAAGATAAAATCTAGTCCTAGATGTCATGACTATACTATTAAAGTGATGGATCTCTTGTGCTCTGTGATACAGCAAGATGAAACACTGCTTTAGGTTCAAGGGGAACAAGGCTACAATTTTCCTTCTGAAAGTTAGATATTTGATATTTGATGAAATAGCATGTCAACAAAGTAAAGAATAAAAGAAAAAGGCAACTAGTTTAGTAAAGAATGAAAAACATTTATCTAACTTACATTTGCTTTTGGAAAGGATAATTAATGCCATAGAGAACTTACTGAACTAATATTCTGCTGATTTTTCTTCACTCGTTCAATCTCTGGAGAATCTTTTACTGCTGTGCCAGCTCCTACTTCTTTCTTATAAAATACCTTTATTATAAGAAAATGAAATAATAACTATACGCTTATTAGCATTCAAACCCTAGACTTGATTTTTATAAAAGACAATTTCTCAAGTCTTGGAGTAATGTGATTACAGCTTCTATTTATGAGTACCATTGGCACATTAATCAATTAAATAATCCATTATGAGAATAAATGCCCAACTTTGGTTTCATAGGCCATAATCCTACAAGTAACCCTCTTATGCATGTTCTAAGGCATGCTTGGTATCTTATATGGCTACAAATTATTTGCTCTAAGAATATGTTAGAGAACTAGAGTTTCCTTCTTCAAATATAAATGCCACATGGGTATTTGAGAAAAATCAAAGTGCACATTATAAAAGTTCACTAGTTCAAAAACAGCATGAAATTTTAAGCAGGTGTTAATCTCCAAACACAAAAATGCCCTCATTCTCTTTAAAGAAAATATTAACTCTATCATCAACATCAACATAATTCAGTATTTTCCTCATCTTCCATTTATTCATTAAACTCCCCATGTCTTTCCACCCCCACCAATATCTACGCCTTTCCAACATAAAGCCAAAAAAAAAGTGCTCTACAAAAAATAATAAAAATAGAAGAATTACAAGAAAGCCACAGGACAGAACGAATCCCTCTTTTGAAGTGTGATAACTCACATGTCAGGGTTGGGAGAGTGGCATGAGAGATGTTCTCCGAAAGCTAGAAATCTAGAATACCATGAAACCACAGGACTTGAGAGCAAAACAGCTTTTTTCTCAAACCCTGCCTTCCAACAGGACTCCATTGCTTAGCACAGCCTGACTATGAAGACTGAGAGGCACTTGCCCATTAGCACTTGTCAATTTTTTAGCAAGTAGAAAAATATTTCAGAAGTTATCAGACTTAATAGAATTTATATTTTGATGAGACATTTGCTTAGCTACTAAATGAGCTAAATTCTACATTAAAATACTGGCTGTATGGCTTTAGCCAGTTTGGCTCAGTAGATAGAGCATCAGCCCACAGACTGAAGGGTCCCAGGTTTGATTCTGGTCAAGGGCACATACTGGTTACAGCTTGATCCCTGGCCCTGGTTGCAACCAATGCGGGAGGCAACCAATTAATGTGTCTGTCTCACATCGACGTTTCTCTCTATCTCTCCCCTTCCATTCCACTCTCTGTAAAAATCAATGGAAAAAAAAATCCTCAGGTGAGGATTAACAAAATAAACAAAGAAAAATACTGGCTATATGGTCAGTTTTTATCACATGGCTGCAAGTTATATCGTATAATTCAAATTCATATATCCATTAAACATAGACCCAATTTCTTTTTTAAAAAAAAAAAATATTTTTATTGATTTCAGAAAGGAAGGGAGAGGAAGAGAGAGATAGAAACATCAATGATGAGAGAGAATCATTGATCAGCTGCCTCCTGAACGCCCCCCACTGGGGGTCAAGCCCACAACCCAAGCATGTGCCCTTGATCAGAATCACACCTGGGACCCTTTAGTCCGCAGGCCAACACTCTATTCACCGAGCCACACCAGCTAGGGCCCCAATTTCTTAATTAATGGCGCTGATACAATTCCTATTGCTCAAAATAAATACATGAACGTTTAAGAACTGATTCCAAACTAGTAAGTTTGGGAAGGAAATCTCTTCATCTGACTATTTTCATCTTCAAGGTAAAGGTATGTATAGAAGATTAAGACCTCTTTTTCTGAGTGAAAATTAATAAATTCAGTTAAAAATAACTATAGCTTGTACTAAAGAAGAAAATTTGGATTTGTAATTCTAAAACAATCATAATAAAGAAAAAGATAATACAGATAGAAAATTCAAGTAATGCAGAAAAATAAATGAGACAATGAGGGAAGGTCCTCCGTACAAGATAAAATTTCAAGGAGGCGAAAAAAAAGAAATAATGGCTACTCACTGAACTAATGTTTTGTTGAGTTGTCTTAATTCTCTGGATTTCAGGAGTATCCGCCACAGGAGAATAGTTAGAAAGCATCTTCTCTGCTTCATCTTTATACTTTTTCTAGAAATACAATCAGTTAATATCAACCTGAAACTTTGTGTGTGTGCACATAGAAGACAGAGACAGAGAAAATGATAGTGATACTACTTCAAATTCGACTTTACCACATGGCTACAAGTTATATCACATGATTCAAAGCAGTTGTTGATGCAACAGCAAACATAAGGGGTATGCTAACCGAGTAAGCCAGCAGTCAGGGAGCAGCCTCACCTCGCTCAGGCAGTGGTCCCACCCCTGTCCATTCCAGGCCTCAGGAGGGCGTGACCTCTCAGCCACTCTTTGTTTAGAACCTACTCTTTTAGGAGCAGTCCCACCCTGTTCACAGTTACCCCATAGTTCCTGCAAGTAACCCAGCTCTCTATACCTTCTTGTTTTTGTGCTTCTGGGTTTATGTTCTTCTTCCTACTTCAAGTAAAGATACATTTGAGCCCTGGCTGGGTGGCTCAGTTGACTGGTGTGTCGTCCTGTACACCAAAAGATTATGGATTCAATTCCCAGTCAAGGCACATACCTAGGTTTTGGGTTCAATCCCTGGTCAGGGCATATATGGGAGACAACCTGTTGATTGTCAATGCTTCTCTCACATATCAATGTCTCTATCTATCTATCATCTATCTATCTATCTATCTATCTATCTATCTATCTATCTATCTCCCTGTCCCCTTCCTTTCTCTCTAAAAGTCAATAAAAACATATCCTCGGGTAAGGATTAAAAAAAGATATATTTGATTAAGGTAACAGTGCCTTAAAATAAAAATTATTTTATTATTCCCTCTTACAGATGGGGAAACTGAGTCAATAAGTAAGAAGTGTCAGAACTAGGATTTAAAACCGGGCACTCTAATTCCAAAATCAGTAATGTTAACCATTATGGCACACTATTGCTCGTTAGGAAAGGTAATTTTGTTCATGTTGAAATGCACCATAGCATCATTACATCCTCTAGAATTCCATTGTGTCCAAAATAATTTTTAAAAATCAACACTGGTAAGTTAAAGCAGAAATTCTGACAGCTGAGGCATAATCTCCTCTTAAAGCCTTTACTCTTGATTCTCATAGCATATATCATGGTTTGTCATACTCTCCTTGCATGGTTATTAAATTAACCTGTACCTCCCAAAGAGCAAAACCATATCTAATTTTGCATGTAAACAGGTGCTCAGGAAGTATTTGCTGAATGAATGAATGAGCTTGGTATTCCTGAGACAGCAACTTCTCTCTACTGACTCAAATGGCCATTTGTCTATTTTACATATTTATCTAGGACAGTGGTTCTCAACCTGTGGGTCTCGACCCCTTTGGGGTCGAATGACCCTTTCACAGGGGTCGCCTAAGACCATCGGAAAACACATATATAATTACATATTGTTTTTGTGATTAATCACTATGCTTTAATTATGTTCAATTTGTAACAATGCAATTAAGTCACCACAACATGAGGAACTATATTAAAGGGTCGCGGCATTAGGAAGGTTGAGAACCACTGATCTAGGATATTAGTTTAGCTGATTTAGTTAGAGCACTTCTCCAAGTTCACATGCCATCATGAGACACTGAGGACAGATGGACATGCACATCAGGACCATCCCAACTGCTGTCATCTACTCCTTTGACAGCTGACTCTGCCATCTTAATTCTCACATTTTTTAGCCAGCAGATGTTTAGACTCCTTGCTTATATTTTAACCAGAATTTTAAAAAATTTGGTTAAACGTTATTTTCAGCATAAACCCCATTAAACAAATTTAGTTCATCCCCTTTACTATTTATTTTCCACTGAGATTCATTCTTTTCCATGTAAATTTTACAGCAAAAAAATATTTCACTAATGAAAATTTTTACTCAAATCAGATTTTAATTCTTCCATTAAATATTTTCTTTTGTGGTCATTATTCCACCCATATCAAGTTTTCCTGAGGATAAATTTGGCATCTTACCAAAAAACAAAACCAAAAACAAAACTTAGTTCTTAATTTTTATTCATTATTAGAGGCCCAGTGCACAAAATTTGTGGGGGATGGGGGAAGGGAAAGTTCCTCAGTTTGGCCTGCACCCTCTCGCAATCCAGGACCTCTCGCCCCTAACCACTCACCTGCCTGCCTGCTCACTCCTAACTGCTCACCTGCCTGCCTGCTTGCCCCTAACCGCTCACCTGCCTGCCTGCTCAGTGTGCATCATAGCGACTGGTCATTCTGGTCGTTCCATTGTAACTGTTGCTTAGGCTTTTATATATATAGATTCACTTTCACCTTACACTTTGTGCAGTTTTACTCACTTTTAGTTTTAGTTGGAGCTATTTTAAAGATAATACTCATTATGAAATGGGGAAAAAGACAATTAATTCACTTGTAATCTTGTTTCTGTAGAGTGAACATTAAAGCCAAGTATGCAATACAGTTTTCTGGTGTGTTTTTTAAAGGTCAAAATGTCCTTGAATGCAAAACAGGGGCTCTAGCAGGGGAGCTCTGACAGTGAATAATGTCTGTGGAATTGAATCTGCAGCAGTTGTCCCTTTCATTAGTGAAGTTAATTAAGTTTGGCCAATGGTTCCTTTACAATGGAGTGCACTGACTTTGAATTCAGTGCCCTCAAAAAGGTATCAATCATAGAAATGCACAAAACACATGGTGACTGGCTATTAGAATACATTGTTCTGAGCAGCTTAACTACACCAACCTGGCTATAGATTTCCGATGCCCTCTTGGCTCGCAGCATATCCAGAACGTCCATGCTCACTTGCATTCCTTTCCCTTTGATTTCTGTTTCCAGATCTTTCTTATATTCTATCTAAAAGAGTAGAAAGGAATCTTCAGTGCTTTGCTTAACCTTCCAGAGCAATATAGATATTTATGTGTTCAAATCTCAAAGCCACACACCTGGAAATACCATTTGTACTCGTTCTATAAACAATTCAATATGTTTTTTTAAACTTTGTATGCCATTCATTTCTTACCTGGCTGGCCATTCCAGATGCTTTCTTGGCTCTCTGGATATCAAGTGTGTCTGTGCTCACCTGCATGCCCTTCCCTTTAATTTCAGTCTCCAGATCTCTTTTATAGTCTTTCTGTAAAAAATAAAACATGCAATTAGAACTCCAAAATAATTTGAAAATTTTGATGTCATTTCACCATCAGAATCATGTCTTCTGGAGATATACTGGAACTTTATGTCTTTTATTTCTATAGAAGTTTAGAATGTTTAACTTGTGGAAGAAACATGACTTGGAATGTCTTAGTCACATAATCAGAAGGCTTTTTCCTACTCACCTGAATTAAGAAAGAAAACATAGTTAATCCAGGGGAAACTTTCTATATATGAGAAAATTGATGAACTATAGATTAATATATCGCTCAGTTAATGAATATCAGTAAGATGGGTTTGTAAAATTGTCACTTTCTGCTCTGTAATGAATAATTGCTTGTTGCTTCCCTGAAATCTAACTCCCCCCTTTCCCTGCTTTAGCTCCCTGACTTACCACTGCTTCCCCATTCTAAGCCACTCAGCTCGAGGGAGACTGCCCAGATGCATGGGCTCTGTTGGACTTAAATCGATCATTATACCTATCCCTGGCTCTTCATGATTGGTTCAGGGATAGGTGCATTCTTTCTCCTTGCGAGTTATCAAAAGACTCTCTTTCCTTCTGTCCATGAAGGAAGTGGCCCCAGGAGCTGCTAGATGCCTCTTTGCAAGCAGAAGAAGAAAGCCTGCCTAAGAACTAAAAGATAGAAACCAAACCTGAATTACACAGTTTGTGTCCTATATCAAGCTATGTCTAAGAATTCCTCTGATGTTTGGTACAAGAACAGTAAATGTTCTGCTTTCCTGAACTATTTTGAGTTGGATTATCTGTTACTTACAAAATATCAAAACTACACACACAAATGTCTTAAGAGACTCTTATCACACTTTAAAACTAATTATTATAAAATTCAGCAAGCTGTACCCTTATAATTGTATTCTTTTCTGGATGCATGCTACTCTTTAAAGAAAAATTTTATTAAGAGAAAAAAGTTATTGACAGTATCTAAATTACGCTTCTTCCAAAAACAGTTATTTCACATTGTGTTCACATACTCTAGATTTATAGATTCTCTAATTTAAAGTAAATGCTGTCTTGCTTATTTATGATGTAGTTCTAAATTTAGAGAAGCTGTAAATAAAAATCTCAATCTCAGAGAAATATTATATTTTTCCTTTCTTCCAGTCATAAATCTGCCTATTGTTACTCAGTCTCAGTTTCAATTTTCTGAATAAGAGTTCAAGTAATAATGTTTAACTTTTAAAAGAATAACACTGAAATACTAGTATTACTATGTCTGTAAGGAGCTCTAAATTTTTAGCAAGCTTCTGAAGGCCCCAAAACAAGACACTTCATTTGAAGAACAATATATGAAGGAGCTGAGGCTCTAGTCATAGATGGCCACCAAGGTCCCATGTAGAAGGCATGTCATTCAATTTTCCAGTATGAACCTTCAAATCTAAAGTATTTTAAAGCCCATAAATAGACTATGTAGAACACCAGTTACATCAGCTATTTATTTTTAAAAAACTATATTTTATGGATTTTTTACAGAGAGGAAAGGAGAGGAATAGAGAGTTAGAAACATTGATCAGCTGCCTTCTGCATACCCCCTAATGGGGATATGCCCGCAACCAAGGTACATGCCCTTGACCAGAATTGAACCTGGGACCCTTCAGTCCGCAGGCCGACGCTCTATCCACTGAGCCAAATTGGTTAGGGCCATCAGCTATTTATTGATGCATACTAAAATACCCTAGAAAAAAACAACATGAAATAAGCCCCAATGCACATTCCCTTTCAGAGCCTCTGCCTGAATCATCTTTGCTAATGTCCCATTCGCTAAAGAAAATCACAGGATCAAAAAAATCATGACCTTAGGTACTAGAAGGTTTGGCTATTGGGGACCAATCATTCATGTAACAATATACCACACTAACTTTACTTTAAAAAAATAAATGTTGTACTATGGCAATGTCCCAAACTCTCATTGAAAAGGATTTGATAACCTGTCAATTTGGGCAAAATGGGACATGGCTATGATTATATGCAAATGAGACTTTTGAATTGCAAAGATAACTACATCCCCAAAATTGATTTGGGCTATATGTAACCATAATACAGATGACTCCCCTATGCCTGTTTTTCCCCTAGGATCTTAATAACTAAATTTGTACCTTTTTCTTATTATATAATCCCAAGGTACACAGAGAAATATAAATCAACATATCAATGAATAAACTAATCTATTACCTACTAAGAAAAGACCTGAAATTCCAAGCTTTCATAAAAGTAATGCGTCATAGAAGCCTATTCTTTAGATAAAAAAGTTTGTTCTTTCCACATTCTGTTCTCCAGTAAAAGGATGCTTTTTTTTTGGCCTCAACTCAGTCTCACGAGGATAATATTGAAAACTCTTCTGCAGGCTTGATTTTCCCCTGCAGCATACTCCAATCCAGTACCTCGAACTAATATTGGATGTCACCCCTTCCTCAAAATAAAAACTTCAGAAACTTATAAGTAGTTATTTGATAGTACCTGGATAGTTAGTTATTCAGAAATCTAGGAAGATCGCCATAAGAAAGTACTATTAATCCAATAAATAAATAAGGAGAAAAAGTACAAGAAGAACCAACCATGCAAAAGACCAGGGGAAGGACTTTCAGGAAGATAAGAGAGCTGCATAGAGACCCTAAAACCTATGGAGACACAAACTGGAAGCCTGTGAGGCTGTAGCATGATGAACATGGAAGAAGGGTGTAGTATGAGGATGGGCAGGAGGAAGGAGCATGACGTCTATGCTGAACATGACTGGGGAAAATAACAATTTAATTCTTTAAGGATTGTTCTGGCTGACAGGCAGAGAATGGATACTAAGGAGGCAAATTCTGGTTAGGAATCTATTGCAATAATCTAGGTAGTAGAGATGGTAGCTTGGATGAGGGTGGGGAGAAGGAGATGGTTTTAGGAAACCATTATGGGGGTGGAGTCAATAAAACTTGCTGACAACTGAATCAAAGTGACTGCTGGGATTTCATTGACACCCTTTGCTAAGAAGGAAGAAGATCTGAGAAAAAATTAAGGATTCTGGTTTGGGTGTGTAATGTCAAGTCTCTGTTATAATACACTAGGGGCCTGGTGCACGAAGATTCGTGCATGGGGGTGGGGGGGAGTGGGGGGGTTGGGGGGGTCCCTCAGCCCAACCTGCACCCTCTCCAATCTGGGAGCCCTCAGGGGAGCCCTCTCCAATCTGGGAGTTTCTGTCTGTCTTTGCAATCATATGAACGAATTGTCTGAGACCCCCAACCCAGTTTGGTTTGTTGCTCACAGAATAATAGAGGCTTTTTTTTTTCTTTGCTTCATTGGTGGAGATTTCCTGGAAGTTTTAGGATATCTTCCCTTTAATTTTTCCTAGACACTCTGATTTTACTTTTATCTCTCATCTTTGCTTTCCTCTCCATCCCCCACTGTAACAGTAACTTGCTCCAGGCTTATTTTACTCTAGTGTCTAGGAGATCCGTCTGTCACCAGCACTACAATTCCCAGGATTCCTGGTGCTCACTGCACTCTGGACTTCCACTTCCGGTCCTGGGGCTGCCATCAGAACTACTATTCCCAGAATTCCTGGTGCTCCCCACGCTGGGAGCGACCAAGAGAGCCACGGCCCCTCAAGCCTCCTGCTCTCCTGCTCTGCTCTCCGCCCGGCAACTGAGGGAGCCACATCCACCCAAGGGAGCGACCAAGGGAGCCACGTCCTCCCAAGCTGCTGGCTCTCCCGCTTCTGCTCTCCACCTGGCGCCTGTGTATGCAAATTAACTCATCATCTTTGTTGCGTTAATTTGCATATTCGCCCTGATTGGTTGGTGAGCGTAGCAAAGGGATGGTCAATTTACATGTTTCTCTTTTATTATATAGGTTGTATATGTCATCTACATGGTAATACCTATGAAACACCAAAAGGTAAATTGTTACATCTTTACATCCATGTTATAGAACACTTAATCCTATATAATAAAAGCCTAATATGCTAAGTGTCCGGTCGTCTGGTCGGCCTTTCAACCAATCAAAGCATAATATGCTAATGATATGCTAAGGCCACTCAACTGCTCACTATGACATGCACTGACCACCAGAGGGCAGACACTCAATGCAGGAGCTGCCCCATGGTGGTCAGTGGGCTCCCACAGGGGAAGCACTGCTCAGCCAGAAGCTCTGAGCCGGGCTCACAGCTGGTGAGCGCAGTGGCGGTGGCGGGAGCCTCTCCCGTCTCCGTGGCAGCACTAAGGATGTCCAACTGCCAGCTTAGGCCCGCTTTCCCCGAGCAAGCCTAAGCCATCAGTGAGACATCCCCAGAGGGCTCCCGGACTGCGAGAGGGTTCAGGCCAGGCTGAGGGACGCCCCTGAGTGCACGAATTTTGTGCACCGGGCTTCTAGTTTTTTAATAAGAATGAGAAAGAATTATATGAAGTGACATGGAAAAGGGTCTATAATATTAAGTGAGAAAAGCAAGCACAGAACAAAGTACTAGTACATGTTAAGTTTTTAGTCTGTGTACAAATGTATGTTATATATATATATATTTAATATGCAGAGTATCCCCTTAGGAGACCGGGAGTTTGATAGCTCGCTGTGACATACACTGACCACCAGGGGACAAGTGTGGAATGAAGGAAGGCCCCGGCTGGCAACCAGAAGGCCCCAATGGGCCCTGATCACCAGCCAGGCCTAGGGACCCTACCTGTGCATAAATTTCATGCACTAGGCTTCTAGTATATATATAAATATATATACTGGAAGGCTCTACAACAAGTTTATAACAATGACTATCTCTCAAGAAGAGACAAAAATTAGGGTCAGGGTGAAAGGAGGTTTGTAAGACTTGTTCAGCATGTATTTCCCCTCTGCCATTTCTAAATGGAACCAATATTGGTCAAGAATTCTATGCCAACCCCATGTTTTTATCTAAACCAATTATGGCCATCCCATCCCCCCTGGCAGTCACTCCCCTGGCAATGAGTCAGCTACCTCCACCCTCCAGATATCCAGAGTGGGAGTCAATCCTGAGCCAGCTCTTCTCACTGCAAGTGCCATGTTATATCTCTCAGAGCAGCTCCACTGAAGCATCTTCATTATCAGCTTGGAGATAAGTAGTGCCCCTTAACCTGTACCCCCAACTTTCTCTTTACATATATTTCTCACAAAATCATCTCTTCCCAACTACTCTCCAATCCACCAACCCTTTTATATTCTTGAAAGTTTTGGGGGAAGTTCAAGAGGTATGGAACCAATTCTGGAGCATATCCTTTGAAAAATACACATATAATCTGACTCCTACAACTTTGTTACCTGATATGTATCATATCATCGCATCTAAGCCAAAACTCCTAAATTAACATCCTGTCATTACATGTATTACGCGAAGAGGAAATGGTATTAGACAAAAGAACATGGTCATTGAGGACATATAATACCCCAACCCCAAATGCTGACTCTGTAGAAATTACAGGAATTGTGATGAGGTCAACAGAGGATATTTTGAGGACATGCAACCAAATCACACAGAAATGGCTATCAATGACATGCTAGAGTCTTCATATGTGATTTTCAAATTCTGCTCAGAAAGTTGGAAACAAAAAAAGGAGATATATATACTACTCTTTGTAATATTTTAAGCAATAAAACAAAATTTAAAAGAAAAAAAAAGAAAGTTGGAAACAGAAATGTCAAGTAGCACATGATCCATCCTTAAAGAAAAAGGAATATGAAAACATTTATCATAACATAGAATCTAGGCCCTAGATTAACAGGAAATTTGTTGCATTATAGGATAAGGTAAGATGTGTGTACATGCACTTGTGTGTGTTTGTTATAGTAAAATGCCTTTCCCAAAATTTTCTTTGATATATTTAAAGGAAATGAGCCAAGCAGAAGCTGTAAGTTTTCAAATAAGCATGATGATTTGAAATGGTTTCCATTCCAAACTGTTAAACTAGTCACAGAAAGCTTTGCAAAATTCCAGGTACTAATCAAGTTGCTAATATGATTTGTTAAGCTCTGAAATAGGATTCTGTAGGTCTGCATCACTTACTCTACTCACCTCTGAAGCTATCTCTGAAGCTTTTTTGGCATGTTGTATTTCAAGGGTATCAATGCCAACTTGCATTCCTTTCCCTTTAATTTCTGACTCCAGGTCTTTCTTGTATTCTTTCTGAAAAACAGCAATATTTACAACATTCAGACACTCAGGGGACAATCATGTTTGTATTCAATGATACCAAAAAAAATGGCTTAACATATTGATAAAGAAAAGAAAAAGAAAACACCACAGCTTAGTGCTATGGATGATCACCTAGAACTAAAGTCTCTGAACCTCTTAGAACTCTCATCACTATTCTCACTGGAGAAAAGTATATAAAGTTCTGAAGACTTTTACTGTAAAAAGGCAGTGAGAATCTTCACTGACAACTGTCCTGGGGTCTGGAGGACAGGGAGGCAGGTTTAAGTGAGTGGATGCTGTAAAAAGACTGACTTTGAGGCCCTGACAGCTGTGTGACACTGGAATGTTTCTTAACATTTCTGGTTCACTAATATGCAAAATGGGATAATGATTCCTCCTGAAGGATCACTGTGAGGGGTATTTAATAACTGACAGCATCTTCTGGTCTTTCACTTCTATACCTGTGCACTAAGACCTGATTTATTGCTGCTCTAGTCACCATCTTTCCATTCAACTGCATCTGCCTAGGGTTCAAGACAATTTTTTCCAAATATTATGACAAAGGATTGTATTTATAAATCTACACTGGATATGTCACCCTAATAAATGAATTTGTAGAAAAGTATTAATGTAGGAATATGCAATGATAATATGAGCCAAAGATGATGGTGAACAACTGTTGTTTTTGCCTGACTAGCATCCATTCCTCCTTCTTCTGGCAAAAAGTTCCATAATTTTCTTTTCAGGAATTACCTGTAACCCTTCTCAATCCATACACTTTGGGTTGGTTGATTTTCCTACTCTCCACATATATTTGTAAATCCACTAGAATGCTTTTAATGGTTCCTTTAATTTATTTAAAGAACGGGAATATGGTCAAAGATGAATGTAAATTTTTTAAAACACATAACAACTTAGAATACTTTATACTTAAAACATTGTTAAACTACTTCGGAAGTTAACTATACAAGTGGGTGACCAGGAGAACCATCTGAGGTCATCAGCACATTACAGTCCCCTGACCTTAGACACAATTACTGGGTCAGGTGTGGGCACAGGATAGAAGCTGATTTGGTGAGGGTCAATCTTTGGACTTAAATTAGAACTACAAGAATTAAGATGCTCACTTCCCACTGGGATTACTGGCCACAAATATAGTTATCTTGTCATTAAGAGGGGCCCTCACTTAGAGACAGCCTCCCAACAGTGAAGCAGCAGAGAAGATAAGGGGACTAAGCATTTGAACTCCAACCTGAAGGAAACCTGATCTTTGGACTTCTCTAGTCAAAACCCAAAACACTTCCTTTGTTGCTCAACCCATTGTTGCTCAACCCAGTTTGCGTTTGGTTTCTGTCATTTGCAATCTGACTAACAGGGTCATCATCATCATCATCGCCACAGTTTATTAACAAACGGGTATAAAGCTTTGGATTTTTTTCACTGCTAAATTCAGCTATATTCTCCTCAAAGCACAGTGCCATTGTTTAATACCAAGTTTCATGATGTAAAGTGAGCAGTGGCCACTTCCATGTTAATAAAGAGATTTAAGTAGACTCATGAAGTATTCTAGGCAAGGATTGGGAGAGTTGGTTTGTCAGCACGTGAACATTTAAGCTGCAGTTACCACTAGACTGTGATAACACAACTCCCTAATCTTCTGCCTTTTAATTACTTAAAAGATCAAGTTATAGCTCATAAACTTATATTGGTTTATAATATAGATGTGTCTCTAAACCGGGCAGTCATTTTTCTCATACTATATAAAAAGAAGATAATGAGCATCATTTAAAAAAATCATTGATTAGGAAAAGACTACTAGGACATAGCTACTCATAATCATCTTACACATAAAAGTTGTGGAATATATAGAATATATATATTTTATCTATAAAAATATCTATTATATTTTTATTTGTACCTATTAAAAATACAAAATCTTTTAGAAAGATTTATAGATAACAAGTCAGCTAAAAGTTCATACATTCCTCGCTGTAGAAGAAATATACTCACCTCACTAGCTATTTCAGATGCTCGTTTTGCTCTTTGAATATCAAGAACTTCTGAATTAAGATCCATTCCTTTCCCTTTTATTTCATTTTCCAAATCTTTTCTATATTCCTTCTGTGATATAAAAATAATACAATTTGAAATTTATTGGGAATCTCTTTAATCTTTACACAGTTTTACTTATTTTCTAGAAACCACAGAAAGGAGAAACTATTTCTAGGAAAGAATGAATCAGACTCCTGAGCATTCATGCTCCTTATTTCCCACAGAAAGTTTCTCTTTTAAACATGTTTAGAGTGGCTTCCACTGTTATCAGTCTTTTCCCTTTCATCCTTTCTTCCAATATACTTTGGTACCATATTGGTGCCACATTTTTTAAAATGTCTTTCTTTTAAACGGTGAGGAAGATCTTAGGAATACATGCTTCCTATTTATTTTTTTGAAGCATTTTGCAAAAACTGTCTATAAAATATGAATCACCAAAAGAACATAGTTGAAAAGAATGAAAAATTACAAAATCAAAAGGATTGGTGTAGCCAAAGTTTTAAAAGAAGTTTCCATTTTATTCAAAGCTCATAAAGCTAAATAATTTCCTAATTGGTTAATAATATAATGTTTGAATAGCACCTATTTCAATATTATATTTTAAGTACATCTAAATGTTTTTACTAGCACATGTATAACTTGAGTTTTTTTGTACTAATGAATTTCTTGTTTTCTTACTAACCACATTATGAAAATATCTTAATCCAATTTGACTAAATTGCACTTATGAAAGATGAAACTTTCTTTAGTGATAAGAAATCATGTTCCAGTTCATTCTAGGTTTTACTTCATGTTATTTTCTCTTTGTATACTATAATGATGTTAGCTGGTCCTCTGCTTAACTAATAGCCTACAAGACATTGTAATGACCTGCATGTAAATTTGGAAAGAGCTCTAAGCGTCAAATGACTTGGAGAAAAGAGTTACTTTAATAATTTGGTTATGCGACCTTCAAGAAGACTTTAAGTAACTGACCTTGATTTCCACATGGACAAAATTAAAATTAAAATACTGATCTACCAATGTTAAAGGCTAATGGTGAGAATCAAATGAAATGCAGCATAAAATGATATTTTGAACACTCTAAATGGCAAGATATATGTAAAAACCATAATAAAGTAAAAAATGCAAAGACTACTTAAAGCTAAATGCTTACACTTAGAAAGGGAAGTTACAATTTCATTAAGTGACTAAAAGTACCTTTTTAAAATTAGACATCTCTATAACTTAATTAAAAGATTTTTAATTATAGACTTCTGGGCCTTTTTCTATTCTATACATGCTGAATCAATAAATCTAAAAAAAATTCACTCAAAAAGAGGAATAAAAGAAAAAGGTAATGATATACTATTAAAGTCATTAATGGATTCAAAATAGAGCTCACATTGTCATTTGTATGTAAATTATGAAAGGATTCCCCTTTTAAAAAATCACATAAGTAGTGGATATTTCTTATGTTTTTAAAATATGCTTTTATTGATTTTTAAGGGAGAGGAAGAGATATGGAGAGATAGAAATACCAATAAGAGAGAAACATCAATCAGCTGCCTCTTGCACGCCCCCTACTGGGAATCAAGCCAGAAACCCGGGCATGTGCCCTGACTAGGAATTGAAATGGTGACCTCTTGATGCATGGGATGACACTCAACCAACTGAGCCACACCAGCTGGGCAAGAGTAAATATTTTTTAAATGGAAATCAATAAGAGTAGGAAGTTGCCACTTGATTAGCTTTCAACTTCAAAATACTTTATAGTAATGAAAGTGAGCAAAGATAAGGTAGCAAAAGAACTCTTCCATAAATTATACACCTATTACAGCCCAACATACATTACAACAGTGAATCACATTAAATGTGTAAAAGCAGTCAAAAGATAAAGCCCAATTGGCACTTCATTTTTTAAATGATGCACTTCTATGTAGGTAATTATACACTCTTATTTCATTGGTTTAAGACATTTCATTCAGGAATAATTTCTTCAGTTCAAAATTCAGCATGAAATGGAGGTCTTTAATGCTTTCCCTTAATGTAAAAAGAATCTACTTAAATAGAGAGTTGGAAGAGCTCCAAGTTACTCTGTAGCCATTTAAAAAAAAATCTACTCAGAGGGAAGGTAGGGATGGGTGGGTAGGAAATCAACCAAATAAATTGTATGCATATATGCACAATCCATGGACACATACAATATGGTGGAGAAAGCCTGGGGTGGGGACCAGGGTCAGGCTAGAAGGGGTCAATGGGGGTTGGGGGACATATGTAATACTTTCAAAAATAAAGATTTAATTTAAAAAAATAAGACTAAAAAAAAGGAGACAAAACATTTAAACAAGGGATAGACAGTAAGCATGGTATTTCTATTAGATTTGAGGGCCTTAATGCTCAATAAATTTAATACACTAATTGTGAGCCAAATGCACCACTAAATTTGGAGGAAAATCCTGCTGAGAATAAAATAAAAAAATGGACATAAGTTCCTGTGTTCAATATGCTAAATATGTCTTCCCCGACTCAGAACACAAACCACTTATAAGTAATGTACCATTTATCCAGACCTTCACACATGAGCACCTTATTTCTAATATCAACTGTCATGAGAATGCTGCAGGGAAGTTTGAGACAAAGCTGGTTCTAATATGGAAATTAAAAACTCTATTAGTAAAGGTCAAAGTGAGGGAAAAAGTAACAGATTAATATCTGAAATTCATTGAATTAATAGAGAATTGTTAAATAAATACTTCCAGGGTTATTCCTTTAGTTTTTAGTTTCTTTTGCAATAACGGTAAATATCAGGATCATACCTCCTTCAGTAAGTTGGTGATGTACTTTACATGTAGAAATTCTGGAGTCTTGTCTAAATCCAGTGATGACCTTCCTTTAATCTCCCTCTCAAAATCCTCTCTGTAAACTCTCTGTTAAATAAGATCACATAATTTTTAAACTAACAACATACTAGTGCCTGTTGAAAAGATATTAGAACAGGAGTCCCCAGAATAAAACTGATATTTTCCTTATGAAATATTACCACCTCAGTCTTCTTATCCACAGGGAAATAACTCCAACTTCATCATAAATTTCAGAATTCTACAAACAACAGCAAAATCATCACGTACCAACTCTCTCTGGGAAAGCATTCTGAGTGAGGCTGCTTAACATCTTATGGTCTGTTATTGTTTGACGTCAGCCCATTTGTGGAGGAGAACCAAGAAAGTTGGCTATGCGATTGGACCACCTGACTGGTTCACTCAGTAAGGAGTGGATCCATCCACTAGAAGAAAAATCCGGCAGCATGGAAGCCCATTCCAACCAAAGCAGCATTAATGTTCATGTCCTCATCATCCTTTCCACTGTCTGTGTTTTGTGAATTCAGAAAAGACAATTTATAAAATGTACTGGAGGCAGGAGGGGAAGATTTTCCTTTACTGATTTTGGCATTGAGAGTATTTCTCTACTGTCTATAGAGTTTGATACGAATTAAGTTACACTGTGAGGAGAATCTTATCGTGAACCTGGGAAATGATTCTTTAAGTAAGTGTTCCCAATAGGAAATGAAAGATGCCAACAGTATCATGGAGAGCCTAAATCCAAACCCACACCTGTCCTTCTGACACTCTGACACCCTTAGGCTATGATTTTCTAAACTCCACACATCTGCAAATCAATAATAACCCACAGTTTATGACTATAAAGACGTTCTAAATAACAAAAATATCCATTCATGTGAAATATTTACCAAACAAGAACCAAAATTTACCAGCTAAATATTTGATTCAAATTGAATCACAAAGATAAAAATAAATTCTGCATGAGATTGCCATAAATGCAAAATGAAAAGCTATTTCCAGGTTCATTATGTACTTATTACAGAGATAGGCAATTATAGAAAGAAATTCTCCATACACAAGGGAGGGTAAGAGAACAGGCCGTCTCCTCACCTACATTTGTGTTACATATTTAACAAATCTAAGAATAGCCAGAGAAAAATCCACAATGGATCTTCCATAAATACCTAAACTAACAAAGCTAGGTAAGAAGTTGCATTGAGAACATTCTGAGTTAAAGGAACTATAGACATACCAAAGAACAATAATGAAAAGTTGTCCTACAGGGCTCAATCTAGGGCATTTCCAGGCCCAAAATGAGTCTTTAAAAAAAGTGAAATATAAATATGTGTGTATTTATATTATTTCAGATACTTAACTTCAAAAAACCCTTCTCTTCTGAAAAACAATTATTTGACTTAAGTAAGTCATTAAGGAAGGTTGATTATGACTAAAACTGGCCAATATATGACTAAGGAAATTTGTACATTACTAAGGAGGTGTGTGTGGGGGGGGGCGTACCTGTAGAATGCTTTTTGTTAGGAGAGCTTTATTTGTGAAACAGAAGACAAATAACTTTTCAAAACCAGATTTAGAGATTTCTTCTAGCACACAGTGATTCATCCTATATCTGGTATTAGAAGAAATTGAGAGAAGCATAATTATAGGCCATAATAAAAAATGTGAGTGGCTTTTCCTGAGATGATCAACACTTAAGCTTTACACATAGGAGGCTCCCCAAGAAGCTCATGGTCAAGTTGACCTCTTAGTCCTAAACATCAACTCTTTGCATCTAATTCATTGGTCCTGCATCTAAATACATTTTTCATATCCAACTTTGTCTAACATGTTTAGACATTTTATTTTTCTAGCATAAAATGTATATGCTAAATTACATAGAATAAATTTCATACTATAAATCGTTATAGTATAAATTTGGTCCAACGTTATTTTCTGTTGAAAGATTTCTTTCTCCTTAAGCCCTGATAAGCAGAAACATAATGCTGAGCCTAAAAATCGAATAGCCAGTGTCTGTCATTGAAGGGAAACACGTCTTAGCCTCTGCAAATGAAGTTCATCTGACCGATTTTATTTTGTCAGTTCTTGATATTTAATTTTCCTTTTGTGCTGTGCAGCCACATCAACGGTAAAACCCAAGTGCCATCTATCAGACTTCAAGATTTGCACAAGGAAACATGTTACGTCGAATGTATAGCACTTTTGCAGGGCTGAGGGCGCCGTTGAAGTCCTTGTCATCTACACAGTGAAATTTGAACGTGGGGGATCTTTTTTCTTTCAGAGGACCATCCTCAATGGAAAAAAAATAAACTGAGCAGTTCATGTAAATTAAGACAATTTAGTCTAATTTTCCCATTGATTTTTTGAGAAGCACATATCTATATGTTTTGGAGTATTTTAACTGGCTTAAGAAGATGAAAAATATACGTAATTATTTTCTCTCCTCTTGCTTGAAGAAAAAATTAAACAAATTAAGATTATTTAACAAGCCAGTCATATCTGAGGGCCCTTTCTCTGAGAAGATGAATTGTAACACCTCAACAAATAGCATCTATAATGTTTATGAAATCCCTATGAGTTTTATTGTCCAGAGTTCTCATTTCTCCTTGTTTTCCTGTTGTTATTGGAGAACAGAAAAGGTCTTGTCCATTGAGCCTTCCTGAAGTGGAGCACTGGGGGTGTGATCAGCTGATACCACTGCCCATTATTTCTAACCTTTTGAAGGAATAATCTTGTTGTACCCACATAATTGGGATGGTGGCTGCAGACAAAACTTTCTGTGTTTGGTGTCTCTTCCCTGCCCCCCAACCCAAAATAGGAAGAAAAGAAAACCAGGAACAGAAGAAATCATCCTGGGACAAGGCAAAACCAGTGAGGGGAATATGTGAATGAGACTTAGTATAGCTTAAGTGGAGAATGAAGTGGATAAGTGGGGAAAAAGCTTATGACTTTGCCCACATGGACACAGCCTGTGATTTCCTCGGTCTCCTTGTGCAGGGTCCTCTAGACCCACTAAACATACTGAACCACTTCCCTGGTTCCTTTCAAATGATAAAACATCAAATATGTGTTGAACAGTTGAAAACAAACCAAAGGGACTCGCCTCACTCTGCATCTTCTGGGCCTCCTTTGAAGCTTGATATGACGGTGTCTCAACAAATTCAAGCATCGATTTCCCCTTATTTTTTTCATATTCTTCTCTGTATTTAACCTTTATTGGGAAAATACAAAAAGCATATAAAGCTCACGAGCCCTTATGCAAACAGACCAAAGTAAAATAAGTATGTCCCAAATTGATCATTTTTCTAAAAATCACATTATTCTGGTGTTGAGGTGGATCCCTGAGTTCCCTGTAGTTAATGACATACAAAGAAAGAGGTAAGAGATATATATAAAACTTATGAAGAAACAAAAATAACTTATAATTACTAAATAATGTAGTTCTAGGACTTGAATAAAGTATTTAAATAGCTGGCATGGCATATATAGATACATATCATATACATGGGGCTATATATGTATATACACATATACTAGTATATAGAAAGAGAGAGAGAGATCCTGTGATAGCTGGAATGCCTATCAGTAAAGCATGAACAAGAGGGAAAACATAGTTGTGATTCTCTCTCTTTTTGTCAAAGGGATGACAGTGTTTTCTGGGATTGCTGAAATTTTCCATAGACATTAAGTAAAACACACATAGGGCTCTTCTGTGATTTCTTTCAGTTTCACTAGGCATTATTTAATAACTAGAGTTCATGCACAGGTGGGGTCCCTCCCAGCCGATCAGGGCCGTCTTGCCCAATCCCAATCGGGGCCAATCGGGGCCAATCGGGGCCAGTCAGGGCCAATCGGGGCGGCCAGTCACGGGGAGGGACCATGGGAGGTTGGTTGTGGGAGTGCACTGACCACCAGGGGGCAGCTCCTGCGTTACACCCTCTCACAGTCTGGGAGAGAGGGGACAGGGAGCCACAGTGGGAGGGGCTGGGCAAGAGTGCGGAGGATGAGCTGAAACCCACCACAGCCTCAGAGCCCACAGGATGAGCTGTGCCCACCACAGCCTCAGAGCCCACAGTTGCACTGGGCCCCTAGTTAATATATATATATAAGCTCTCAAGGTAGTTGGCTTTTTTAGCAATATTAAAATTACAAAATTAAAATCATAGAAAAGTTTTATCATAATTCATTTCATTCAGAAATGTACTTTCATTTACATTCTATGTTTAATAATTAATAAAATTATTTAAGTTGCATAATAATAATAATTTTAATAATTAAATCCAAAAGAAATTTTTCAATACTTAGAACTTTACTGTACCAGGAAACTTAAAAAATTTTAAAATTCTTATTTGTAGGCATATTTTTGTTTCAAAGAAGTATGACAGAGTGATCAATGAAAGTGTTTTTATTATAACATACTACATTAAGATAAAATTTTACAGAAAAAATAAAATGAAAATAAGAATGGTAAGAGAAAAATATCAATTTCTGTATCTTAAAGAAGAGCTAGTTTGTGTATTTTTTAAATAATGGACGTGGGTATCATATCATTATCAAATTTATGTTCCACAGGATACATTTAAAAGAGTTTTGCAAAATTTAAATTAATAGATGTTGGAATGACATATTTTTCAACTATTGGAACTCAGAACAAAAAAAAATACATATATACCAACTTCAAAGTGTGCAAGAAGGAAAATATTTTTAAACATTTGTTCAGGGAGTACATAGAATTTCACAATTGAAATAAACATTAATGTAGACTATACTGGCAAGATATAGTTTTACCATTTTCATAATATGAGAAATTATCATGAACTTTGTGCCTGGAAAATCTATTTTGCAGCATAAAATGACAAATCAGTACACAATAAATTTGAAATCATGAGATTTGATCATTTAACGCATATATTGTAAGTTTTAAATTGTGTGGATTTACTGTTATGTTATAGAATGGCTGCACACTGAAACATGATTTAAGCTTCCCAAACTCAATAAATACTGAGAGAAGAGTGTTTGAGGTTTTCAAAAGCAACAGTCACTTTCTCAGGGTCCGTGTCTTCAGCAGCTTCATGTTCTCGGTGGAGGCGCGCGGCCGTGGGAGGTTAGGGGTCCAGGTTGGGGGGGACATACCTGACTCTGGAGGATGGCGTTGCCTTTGTGGTGCAGGTGTTCTGCAGCGTCCGAATCAAAATGATACATGCCTTTGTTTTCCTCAAACATTTTCCTATACTCCCGCTAAAGTAGAGAACGTGAAAATTAATTCCGAATAAAAGAGGTTGATTAGAGTAACTAATACTTAGGAATGCAAACTGAAAAAACACAAGCCAACAAGAGCCGGAAAGCTCCCATCTGCAGTTGGCTGGTCATGTGGATTTCTAGCAGTGAGCTAACCCGACAATGCAAGATAGACCAGCTCAAGGTAGCCAATGTGAACAGCGTATGAAATACTCAAGAGAAGCAGAGGACAATTATGCTGTAAATACAACATAAAAGACAGTCACAACGCTGGGAGTGGCAATGGAAAAGCCGGGCATGAGACTAGAGTACATAGGCAAGGCGAGCAAAATGGAGGCCAGTTGTCCTGTCCTTATCCTAGAACAGGTGTGTGTTTAACAACATCTAAAAGAAGAAAGAACAGAGGAAAGGAAAGTTGGAGGGAGGCAGACAGAAAGCAGTTGTGTACTTCTCAGCCAGGAGGAAAGTGGATGGTCATCGGGACAATGAGAGAGTGAGAAATGATTCAACTAATTGTCCTAAAAGGAGAGGTTAGGGGGTGTCTGAGAGAGAAACTGAGAAACTAGATACAGTCGATTGAATTTTTAGGGTAAAGAAAGTGAATTAAGACTATTTAGATATACAGACAAAACAGTGAATTTGGAAGATACCAGAATGGCTAAGCATGCCAAATTTGGCAGCTACAGGTCACCAATAAGACAAAAATCGCTTCATAATTTTATACTTGGATATTGGACACAGTGATTTTGCCATGTTTGGGAAAGACCTTTGGAAGTAAATGGTAATTCTCAACGACTCAAGGCTACAGAGACTTGAGCTAAAGTTGGTTGTTCATTGGGCAGTGAGGATTTCAGTGACAATAGCCGCTTTGTGTAGAGTGGGGGAGAGGTAAGCAACATTTGAAAGGGAGCAGGAAAGGCCTGCCATAATGAAACTGACATTGGGTCTTGGCAGATGCTCCAGACATCTGAGAGTGAAGCAGGAAGAGGCCCCAGTGCGGGAGATGGGAGGATGCACACGAGAACTGCTGTTCCACAGAGATACAACAATGGTCCCCAGGGCGCTTTCAGGCAATTAGACTGATGTGTGTGTCCCCAAACTCTAACCAGAATGCAGGAAGAAAAAAAGGCCCCAGGAAGCTCATGATAACATTCACATCGTACATCTTGACTGAAGAGAGTTAAAATCAAGAACTAATAAAGCCCAGGATATTATGTCTGGAATAATAAATCTATCCTGAGAAAAGGTCAATGAATATCATCCCCTAAGCAATGATCTATTTTAGTTATGGAGAATTTCAGAAACTCCTATTTTTAAAAATTAAATAAGCAAACAAAACCTATTTGAATTAAGATCTGCAAAAGAGCTTTTAGTACTTGCTGTTCTTTATATAATAGTCTCTGTTGCCTCCTAGTGGGAGATGCACAGAGCAACACACCATATACACTTTTAATTTATGCAAAGTTATAAACTGAAAGCTACTGGAGTTCTATTTTCCAGGGGGAAATGTTCCCTCAAAAATGTAATTAGTATAGCTGCACAAACTCATAAGCACTAATTTCACTCTACACATTAAACATTAAAATTTTAAAAAATGTTGATTTATACTAAAGACATGTAGAGGTCTTTAAAAACATCCATTTATAACAAACTGACAACTAATTCTGGCAGAATGTCTTTTTATTAAGCACTCTCTTGTTCAATCTTTTAATAAAATTAAGTTGCCTTTATAAATCTACAAAATTCCAATTCTCTTTACATTAAAATTTAAAAGAAGGCAATTCTGATGTACAATAAATTTGAGCCAATATATGATCATACAACTTTAATAAACAGATTGATACCTCAGAGTAATGCATCATGTGACTTAAACTTTTTCTCTTGTGAAGTAATCATTAAGTCACAATTCTACTATGGGGCAAATGGTCTATAATCTAGGCAAAAGCACCACCTGAACAGAGATTTAAACTTTCTAAATGGTAATAAAATAAATGTAATATATGACTTTGTGGGGGTTTTCTGTTGAAGAGATGATAAAAATAATTTATATTAAACTATTATTTTCACCATTATAATAAAAGTCAATATTCTTGAAAAGAAATATTGCCTATGATTGGCATATATTCCTCCAACTACCAAGTTTTTTCACTACCAAGATATTTTTATTGGCATATTTACACATGAATCCTCATGTCCTAAGGAAATTTAACCCAAGTATGGATGAGGAATAGTCAAGGGCAAAATGCCAGTGCAAGGATCAAAAGCGGACAACGACTGAACGTGAGCAAAGCAGCTCAGAAAATAGACACGTATTGAATTTAGAAGCAGACCTATGAGTCATGGGGGGAAACCTGGAACTGAAACAGACACTCAACGAGCAGAGGAGTGTGTGCAGATGAGCATGTTTCCTGGGACAGCAAGAAAGTGTGAATTAAGTGTCCTGGGACTGAGTCTAATTCTGGGCCTGATAGCCCTCTAACCTTCATTCTCTGTTCAACAGACTGAACAGAATGACGGGCTGCTTTTCCGTCAAAAAAAAAACAACACTGATCAAAATTATCTGCGAGTATGAATTATTTACATGCACAGTGCATTGCAGAAGGAGGACAGCACGGGTGGTGGAAAAAGGAGGATCACTACATAACGAACACAAGTTTCAATACATCAAGCCAAGGGTAGACATTTTCAAACCTGAACTGAAGCTGTATCCCATTATTTAATAATTTGGGAACCAGCTCGGCCAGTGTGGCTCAGTGGTTGAGCATTGACCTATGAACCAGGAGGTCACAGTTTGATTCCTGGTCAGGGCACATGCCCAGGTTGCAGATTCAATCCCCAGTAGGTGGTGTGTAGGAGACAGTCAATTAATGATTCTCTCTCATCATTGATTTTCTATGTCTCTCTCCCTTTCCTTTCCTCCCTGAAATCAATAAAAACAAAATATTAAAAAAATAGTTTGGGAACCAGGTTTTAACTGCAGGTCTTTTAAATCTATGACTATGGGCACATCTCCTGAAGACAACTCTTCACTTTTCCACATTCCTTGCCCAACATACTTTCCATCTGACCTGTACCTGGCCCAAAGCAGGTATGCAATAAATTTGGATAATTTGAGTGAATGGGTGAGTGAGTGATTATTAAAATAGACGTAGAATAACCTGAGGTCAAATTAGAGTTCATCACCACCATGGGGCATGCTAAGATGTAGGAAATGGAGGCACAGGTGAGCCAGATCACCAGTTATGAGCACCAGTGACATCACCAAGTGTTTGAAACAGCATCCAGGAAGTGAGTGCTGATGGAATGACCCACTTGGTGGGATATCCAAACACTGTCATCAGAACATGAAGAAATCACCCTCCACTCTTAGTAGCTCTGAAGAAAATTGGGAACCTTTACAAGAACGAAAGTAAAGTGTGAAAGCCTTTAGGATTTATTTTCAGAGAAAATACAAATTAGACTAAGACAATTTTTTATGTCACTGAAGCCTATTAAACATCAGACACTCTGCTCTGGCCTGCATAAAATGAAAGATCTGTCACTTAAGAGTCTGAAGCCTTGAACTGAATACAGAAGAAGAAGAAAGGAGAAGAAGAAAGACAGAAAGAACTATGAAGTGTAGTTATTCAATAAGAAAGTTTGCATTCAAAAGATATTAAAGGGTTGGCGGGGGGAGGGGGGAAAAGCCCTTTGTAAAGCAACAGCTTTGGTGGGACATGAGCGAGCAGACCACTACTTTTCAATGAGTTAGTTATTCAGGGAACAGTGATGCCCGGCCACACCTAAGGAAGCAGGTGCGCTCAAGAGCACTGCAGGCACAGTGGCTGGAGGAAGCCACACCACACCTACTGGTACAGCTACCACAACCACTTACTCTGCTGAGCATTTTGCTGACTTTCAAAGCATGGTCTAAAAACAAGGTTGGGAGACCCGAAACTGGATCATGCATATTTTGAATGTCTTTCTTGTACTTCACCTATGAAAATAACATGGAACACAATACCATCTAGGAGGAGAAAATATGCTTTTGCATTATTGCCATTATCATGTTTAATACATAAAGTACTAGTTAGTGGTAAACTGGCAGATGAATTTGAACATAGCCACTAGATGGTGCTCATTTACTACTGAATGCATTGTAAAGCGTTATTTCTAAGGACTTGAATATATTTTGATAATTCTTTTTTTGTTTGTTTTATATATTAAAAAAGGGGTGATGTAAGCAGAATCAAGTAAGTTTAATGGAAATTCTGCTTGCAAAACATAAAGAGAAATTGCTACTGTATTTTGATTGTGCTTTGTGGCAATATGGAAGCTTCTGGTATTTTCATGCTATTGCCATATAAATCTTTTTACCACCTGCTTTGGAACTATAATAATATCAGTAATAATAATAATAAAATATTAAAAACAGAAAATGTATTGAGCACTTACTCTGTGCCAAACACTTTTCTAAGCACTTTCCATAACAACCCCAGTACGTAGGTACTTTAAGTATCTCCCATTTTACAGATGAGGAAACTGAGGCACAGGAAGATGAAGGTATGATATTAAGAGACAGAGCAGGATTCAAATACAGGCAATCTGATTCTAAACCTTGTGTTTTCAGTACTATGCTCTAGGTTCCTTTAAGTATATTGCAACTCTATTTGCATTATGTTTTTACACACACACACACACACACACACACACACACACAAATACATAAAAAAGAAATCATTTTGATATTCCAAGTGGTCCTAAAAGACAGAAACACCCTTTCCAATTTCTGGTGACAAACAAAATAACAATATTGGTTAATGAACACAAATAACAATACCTTGTAAACATTAATGACAGTACGATATAAGTGCAAGGATATGACAGAAGTTTCAAAGTGTAAATGACCTAACAAAGCAACAGTTCAACAGTAATTCATCTTAATGTTTGAAAGGGTGCTCTGTATATCCTGCAACTACAGCAAAATGATCAGTTTCTTTCTATGTTTGCTTTTATACTCTACCTAATTCTAATAAAAAAAAGACATTTTTTCTTGTAAATTTGAACTTATTCTAAAACACATGAAATGAAAACAAATCTTGTGAAGAAGTGTTACATCATTTACAAAATGGATAAGAAAGGAATTGTTAGCCATTACAGGTACAATTTCTGAAAATTTCTTTATGATAAACTAGCATGAGCCAGGTAGCACTTTACAATTAGCCTCCTTTCATGGGTATTGTTATATGAGTTAACTACTATCATAATCACTAATTTATGATACTGCACTCTACTTTTCTACGAGCTCTGCAATCCATTTTTACTCTTGATCAGACATAATAGTCTTATTAGCAATACTATTCTTATATAAACTAATTAGTATTAGTAACTATTAATAGTAAATAATAATAATACATTTATTTCTCAAAAAAAAAGCTTCAAGAAAATATGCTTCAGTGCTTCAACTAAAATTGGTTGGAAATTACATGGTTTTGTTTCATTACAACGCAACCAATTCTGAGAAACCAAGAATCAAAATATATTGAAAATAATTTTCTATGAATTATAAGCCATGGGACACTTACATTGCTTGCCAGCTCAGTGGCAAGCTGGCTTTGCTTAAAAGAAACACTTTCAAGGGGATTGTAATGATGTTTCTTATCCTTCATTTCATTATCAAATTTTTCTTTGTATTTAATCTGCCATAAAAGAAAAAACAGGATAAATTTAGTAGCACATTTATCATTACACTTTCGAAATAGCACATTTGACTTGTAATTAGATCAGATAAAAAGCTACCTTAAAAACGAATGATAGCAAAGTTTAAAATTCCTCATATTTTCATACATATTAAGTTTAATTAGGCATAAATTTTTTATTAAAAAAAACAACCTCTACTTGAACACTGATCCTAAATGCAATTAGGCATGAACTCAAATCCTATTAACAAGAGTATGCACTGAATCTCAGGATTTTTAAATATCACTTTCCATTTCTGCATTCCTATAATCTATGATTAATTAGAAATTTAGACCATAAATGAATTAAAGTTTTCCACATTTAGAAAAAAAAGATCCTAAGCCCCAGAATTTTAATATGAATTTTCCTGAGGGAATTGTTCCAAATATAAAACATGCTTTGTATCATGGTTTTTCTCACCATTTCCCATTTGTTCAAAAACTCGTATTTAGGGACTATACTTTCTAACGTGTCCTGGCTCTAATTAATGTCATTTTTGTTCCTCTGCTTCAACTCCATAGTTGTATTCAGCAGTAAAATTAATTCTAACATTCTAAATTATTTTCTTATTTTTATAAGTAATCTTAGGGCAACCAAAGGAAGATTATCAAGTTATTCTACAGAACTGTACTTTGCTCCATGGATAGAGGAAAATAAATGTATGCTATGAGAACTAACTATATAGACACAAGTTCTTTACCAAAAACAAACAAACAAAAGACTAACTACTCAAATTTCACATCCCCTTTGATTCCTGTAGCCAGGAAAGGATGCACAGACTTCAAAAGCAAATGTAAGCTGTTTTGTTCTCTTATAACATGTGTACCATTATAATTCTTATAATATTTTACAACATTCTCATAATGTACCTTTATGCATACATAGTAAGGCTGTGCCTTAAAAGAGTGTTTATTAAAAAGTAATTTGGAGATGGCTATTTTAATTGAGTCTGTGTTGTCTCTCTGAGGGACGTGTGTCTGGAATCTATGGAAGAGAGCTAGTAAAATTTTGATAGGAGTACTTTTGGAAAATATTTCAAGATGCCTTACAGCAAATATTTTCTGTTGTGGTTCCATTTGCCACTAAACTTTCTGATATTCACATTACCATTTAAATTCAAGCAAAACTTCATTTATTCTAATTATTTGGTGAGGTCTCCCTAAAACAAGAAACGCTCTGAATTAAAAGAAATTATTTTATGTCTTGAAATTGTGGACAATATCACCAATGAAATAAATTTGGAGCTCATTCACTATTTTCCACAGTAGCTGGCACCGATGGAAAAATTTGCCATATTTGCCCCTGCCCTAAACACACAATTTCACTGTCTTTGCACCCTTAACACCCCTTTGCTAGGGAACCTTCAAGATATTTTAATTGGTGATTGTGTTTCTCTCTAGCTTTTTAGTACCTAACCTCTATTCCCTGGACAATGATGGTGGGCTCTCTTAACTGATTTCCCCTTGAATGGAACTCCTGACTCGGCCAGACTCACCAACACTCTCCACTTACTTAGTAAAACATTCTGACTAAGGGCTGTGGTGTCCAGAACACTCTTGGCTGGTAGCTATTTAACTAATCAGCTGATTCTACTGTGTACTATGGGCTTGCACCAAGTTTTCTTTTGATTATGCATATTCCCCAACCCCAGGCACCATGAGTGTCTTAGTTATGTATCAGCTAAATGGCAAATACAGGTTATGTAATCCTTGTGCCCACAGAGCCCAGCGTACTTTCCTTGTGCACCATATCGTCCCAGCATGACTACACTAGAAACACAGGCAACACAGAGGGGGTGTGACTTGGAAATTAACCTGATAATTTCTCATGTCATTAAACCTGGCATTCACTCTTCCTGAGTAAAGGTACCTTTCTGAAAAGCAGTAACAATCCAAGCTGTAATAATTAATTCCTTCCTCTACTCATTAAACATTGAGCCTGTGTTGAGTTCTTACCTGAGGATGGGAACAGTGATATGACCCAGACACATTCTGTGAAGACTGTGTCAGTCATCTCTCTCCAAAGTAAATCTGATTGAATCACACACTTACAAATGGTTTAGAAGTAAGCTCCAGCATTTTTGCTCCCGTTGGTATGCTGTACTCCAGCTGTACGCTGGCTAGGAGTCAACTGAGTTTGTCCCCCATCCTGTTTATGGTAGTTGTACTTATTATAATTACATAATTTAATTTAATGTTGTGAACACTGGCAAATTTACTGCAAAAAGAGTTTTATTATCTCTATGAAAACTATGTTATTTCTCTGAAAGACTTAATGAAGGCAATTACAAATTCAAAGAAATTGTTGTTAAAATAAGGGTGGTCAGGACAACCAGAAAATCCAGGAAGGGGCATAAATATCTAGAAGATTCTAGAGCTCAGATAGATTAGCAATATATCTTTTTAAAATGTCTTTCAAAATTCAAATCATAAACAATGCAATATGAGTATGATTTGCAAGAAAAAACAACACAAAACTCCAAACTGAAGATTCCTTTATGAAGAAAAAGACTTGTCACTACATCAAAACGTTGGTGAAATAAATGGGCACATACGTGTTCTGTGTTAAAATAAAATGTTAAAATAGATTTTAATGAGAATTTTATTTTTGAAGATTTCTACCACTGTTTTGCATTAGGCTACACACCTTAAAATTTGAATTTTAAAATGCTGTCTAACCTTTCCAGGTTATTCCTGTAGTGTGGGACTAATTATTTAAAGTACACCTGTCATTCATACCCTTATTAATGAATGTAATAATGAGCAAAGGGTTGTGAAATTTATCTTACTCTAACCTTCAGTACTCTGCATGATTTGATTCAAAAGTGCCTAAGAAAGAAAAATGCAAGAATTTCCCTCATTAATTAGCCACAAAGTAAGATAACTGCATTATATTAAAAAATGCATTTACCAGACACTGACACCCAACCATTTCTTACCTCTTTCTGTAAGGATTGCACATAAGTGAACTAAGAAAATAGCCAAATGATTTAAGTGGTTCCTACTGCTCACCTTCTGACTTGTTAACTCACAAACTACACCTGCATACCCAGCATTCTCTCCTATTTTCAACACACAGTTCACACATCTGAGTGTCTACCTCTTCATGCACACTCGCATCTCCTAAGGGATCAAGGCAAAGTTTTTCTTTGATTATAACTGGCGACTCAAACATGGACCAAAGGATCTCCAGTTTTAAGACCATATGAGACAAAAAGAGGTGTTGAGAGATTCTTCTGTGGTTTTAAGACACAATGTTATCTCTTACCTAAATCAATTATTTCGGAATAAAATAAGTTACTTATACCTATGACTGATTTTATTTGAATGCTGAATATTATATCTTATGGTGCTGATGTTTACCAACATTTTGTTGTTGTTGTTAATCCTCACTCGAGGATATATTTTTTCCATTGAGCTTTTTTAGAGACCGTGTAAGGGAGGAGGAGAGGCAGAGAGAGAGAGAAACATCAATGTGAGAGAGACACATTGATTGGTTGCCTCCCGCATGTTCCCGGATGGAGCCTGCAACCAAGGTACATACCCTTGACCAGAATCAAACCTGCAATCCTTCAGTGGGTGGGCTGATGCTCTAACCACTGAGAGAAACTGGCTAGGCTACCAACTTTTTAAAAATGTGGATAGGTATTTAGGGTTAAATGTCTTGGTGTTTTTAAAAAAATTTAACAGACTTAGCAGGACTTTCAGAGACCACACTCGGAGAAAACACTGGAACTGTTAAATTACAATGATGTAACTTAAATTAGTTCTTTAGTGCTGCATCTGCACAAGGCAGTGTTTCAACAGTCTGAAGATGGACTTCTATACCACAAGGGAGTATAGGCTTCTGACATCTATGGCTCAGATTCACAATGAGTCAGAAAAGGCAGAAAAAAGACCCTGAACAAAAGCTTTTCATCATGACTATAGAAACAAATATTAGGAAAGAAATGGAAAATGTGATAAGTATAGCTTAATTATTAGTGAAAATGACAAGTTAACAGGTAGCACAATGCCAAATATCTATAGGCATTAATTCCTTTCAACAATGGATAAAACTGAATTGGAAATATTGTCAGGCAAGAGAATAAAATAGATTTTTATGTAAAACTCATCATAAAATCAATAACATTTTAAGTCTGAATTTTAGACAAGATAACATTTCTATCCTCACTTTCATAACAAAATAATATCTTACTGATTTTGCACCAAATGTGGATGATCTCAAGAAATTTGTTGATTTGATATATATATATATAACACCTAATCTATGCCATTCTATAATGGTGGGTTAAATACATATAAACCCTGTCCCCACAGAGCCTACTGTGCGGTAAATAAAGTAGATATCTAAAACACACATATACATATATATGAATATTAAAATTTATGTTAAGAACTATAAAAAAGAACAGAAAGAGTAATACTATTTAAGTTGGCAAATCAAGGATGTGACATTTAAGCCAATACTTGGGTGTGAGAAGGTTGGTGGACAGAGTACTTGCCAGGAAGGGAAATGAGACATTCTTTAAACCAATGACTACCTTACAATTTAAAAACAATGCTTATTATTAAATGTTAATAGAAATCTAAAATGTGATTTTTTTAGGTTTAAAACACATTCTTATCAATACAGCAAATGAAATTTTAAAACAAATACTAATTATTATATATAATACAAAAATTTTCCTTTGATATTACAAACTAAAGAATCCCATTCATTATAGATAAATTCCAAGAAATAAATTAAGATGATATATGAATATATTAACAAATTAACTGCTCTTAGAATTTTTTAAGATGATTTTAATAGTTCCTACACTTAACGTTTGAGACACTCATAAATACACCAATCTCTTCATTTTGGTACATAAAATTTACTTCATTTTTTTACTGATTTTCCTTTAATTACTTGACCATAATGTTATGTTTCTCCTAAGTCTTAAAAAAGGCAACTTTAC